TGGTCAGCGTGTCGGGATGATCGGCCCCGAGCTTCGTCTTGCTCGTCTCCATCACCTGCACAAACAGCTTCTCGGCCTCCTCCCACCGACCTCGGTCTCTTTGGACTAGAGCAAACATTGACATACTTGCTGAAGTCGCCACAGAGTCCGCACCCAATTTCTTATCACGGACCTTCCTTGCCTTGCCTAGCATCTGGTGTGCAACCTCGTATCTCCCTTGCGTCCATGCATACCATCCCCCGTTATGCAAAAGCCTCGCCCATGTTTCGACCGTCTTGTCATTGGGCTGGTAACCAAGGATGACTTGGACGTGTGCGAAGAGGCTCCGGCACGTCGGCCAGTTTTCATACTCCCCTGTTGGAAACGACACCGCCATTCGCTCGATGCACTGCTGCTTGAACGTCTCCTGCTGCCCAGACGCTTTCAGCCACCCTCTGGTCGACAGCTGCACGAGCCCGTGCATCTCGAACTCGTCCCCTACCTCATCCGCCACAATGAGACAGTAATCCCTCAGCATCGCCACATCATCTTCGAATCCCCCGTCTACACCGTCGTCTGTATCGTCGTCTGTGCTATCATCTACGTCCCCGTCTATAGCACTGCTGCTGTCGTCGGAAGGGTTCAGAACCCACCCAGGGATGCCCTGTCGGTCGAAAAAACTCATAAGTGACAGGAGATCCGCCGCCGAAGGCCGCTTGGACCGGATGTAGTCGAAGGATATCTGCCATGTTGTGAGAATCGCGTTTGACGCCCCTCCGTCCCGTCGCAAGTCGCCGGCGTCATGCTCTAAAAGCCTGCTCCTTTTGCGCTCATTCTTCCGGAACTCGGCCAGGTAGTTCTCCGGTGAGCTCCGCGGCGCCCTCGCCTGTATGTACGCGGCGGCCTGGCTAATGGCCAGCGGAACACAGTCGAGCGCCTGTACGAGATCGGCCGCCACGTTCCTATCCGGTGCCGATCCTAGCTTCTTCTCTAGGAGCGTGAGGGCAACCGTCTGCCCCATCGGCCCGATCTCGATGTAGTTGTGGCTCCCGGTAAGCCTGTATGCCAAGCCCTTACTTCGCGTTGTGACGAGGATGGATCCGTTTCGACTCTGCGGTAGATAACTCGCCATCGGCTTCCCTTCGCGGCCGTCGCTTGCCGCGTAGAGCACGTCTCGGTCGTCGGCGCTGTCTAGGATGATGACCCATCGACCGTTCCGTTCATTGGACAGCCAGCCGTACAAAAGCTGTGGGACGTTTGCTTTGGGCTGGTTCCGGCCGGGTAGCTTGACACTGTCGGCAATCGTCCTAAAGCCTTCCTCGACGCGCGCCTGCGTGCCGGCGTGGACCCAGAACACCCATGCGTCAGGCTGCGCCTCGCGGATCCGGTGGGCGTATTCGATGGCCAGTTGTGACTTGCCGACACCGCCAAGGCCCACGAGAGCCACCCGACCGCCCGGCTGGGAGCATCGCTGGTCGACTTGATCGAGAACGTCTCCACGGTTGACGAAGTCGGGATCGCGGGAGAAGGGGATATTCGCGAACGGCGGCGGCGGCGTTTCGGGACGTTCTGACAGTGTCAGTGGGGCGTCGACTCGCATGGTTCTGCGGTAACCCTACCTGGCGGCAAGTGGAACTCTGCGTTGAGGGACCCATTAAACTGCCCCACTTGGAGACCCCGATTCCAGGGTCCGAAAGACGCAGACGGGACTTGTGCCATCGTTGGCGACTCTGTTGAACGGCTGGTTATCACCATAGACAGTACAGCGACGGATCAAAAGAAGGCCATGGAAGGCTGCTCAAGCCTTGCTTACGGCGGCCCAACGGTCGCAGCCCAGCTGCACGTGATCGGATGGCTCAGCCTCAAGAACTCGTTAAGCGGCGACCGCCATTCTAAGTACTGTAGGAAACTTCTCCCTAAATGCTAACACTATTCACGATGGATCCTTTGAGCATCACTGCGGCCGTCGTGGGTATTGCGGCGCCGACAGCGCACTGTGTACGTCTTCTCATTGAGGACATCCAGAAGATCGTCGACGCGCCCGAAACCCTCGATTCGCTCAAGGAAGATCTGCTCTCTGTGGAGCAGGCCCTTGCTTCACTCCGAACCGTGTCCGATGCGCAATGGAAGTCACTTGGTGAGACTGTGGTCAACCAGTCGAAAGCTACGACTACCGTATGTGGAAAGTCATGCGACAGGTTCAGGGCCGATCTCAGTCGCTGGACCCGGCATAGCGAGGATGGGAAACTCTCTTTGCGGGATCGCGCAATGGTTGGCTTCTTCAAACAGGGCTGCGTAAAGTCCATGTCAGAGCAGCTCCAGCACTGCAAGATCACTCTCTCTTCTGTTGTCTGTATCGCAACTTTGTGAGTCTGGCCCCGTGAACCCGCCATCGCCAGGTGTTAACTATAGATAGCCATAGCTCTCTTCAACAGACTCGAGTAACCGAGGAGATGATGACGACAATCTCGCAGAAGGAGGCCGAGATCGCAGAGTCCATTACAGCGTCAGACAAGCAGCTGGCCGAGGTGAATGCCAAGCTCGGAGTACTGTGCCTCGCCAAAACCGAGCATGACGAGACGGAAGCCGACCGAGCCAGTGCGATTAGCCAGGTAGCAGTCGAGCAGACTGTCTTGAGCGAGTCCCGCAAACTGCTCGCCGAACTGCTCTCCGGTATCCACACCGCAGCTGCGAATGCCCGGAAAAACCAGGCTCGGGTAGTCAACAAGTTCGGAAGCCAGAATGAAGGCATGCAGATCGGAGTCTTCAATGGGACGATGAGTTGTATTACATTTGGGAAGAAATAACTGGCGGATCGATGTTGCTTCTGCATGACATGTATTTTTCTATGGCTGATGCCAGTGTCTTTTGCTAGCGTCACTGCATGCCGCTCTCCGATGTTTCGTTGCCAAGATGTCAGACTCGGACAATGCTCAGGCCGAGTGCAACACGATGCAACCGGTCGCTGCTGTTTTCTGACAGGAGTTTGTTCTCGCAATCCGGTGTAAACACCACAGCATCTGTTACAGTGCACACCAACGATAAGGTATCAAATTTTGTGTCAAATACGGCCAAAATGGCCGGAAAGGAGTCGAGGTTTAAGAGATTGCGGTCATGGGCGAAGCGACATTTTGCGCCGAAGAAGGATTCCCAGCAATCTTCCTTTAATCGTCCACATGAGGTAGTCAGTGACGGCCTCGAACATACCATCATTAACCAAGCACTTCCCAGGAGTGAGAACACGATCATACCGCCAGTCACGACGCCGTTGAAGGCGGCGGTGATGGTAAGCGATGTCCAGACTCCCACGCCACCCTCGCCGGCGGGACAACAATGCAACAAAGCAGTGAGGGTGGAAGTTCCCACGTCACCTACTTTCAACACTCACCCTACAACCAACCTTGCATCCGAGGAAGACTCTCAGCGCGAGGAAAGTCCCGACAAAAATGACATCTCAGCAACGCCAGCGACGGCACCGCCAAATGCGAGGACTACAACACCCAAACAGCAACGCACTGAGCCATTATCACCAGCGCAAACCTGTACTTTGACAGGGAACCTAGCGTGCCTCCCACTGGAAGTCCATAGCACAGTACCCGCAAATGATGCTACGCCTGAGGTCCATTCGACTCGTTCCAAGGAGCCGTCCACAACTTCCGTCAATGGAGTCCCGGATGCTGCTCTGGAGAATACCCGCAATCAAATTCATCATAGTGAGGTACCGGGAGCGTCAACCACAACACCGGCGACCGTAGAGGTGCTGGGAGTCCATCAAACAGTATCCGCAAATGAGGTCGCACCCGAGAGTCGTTCGACTCGTTCCAAGGAGCCGTCCACAAATTCCGTCAATGGAGTCGCGGATTATGCTGCTCTGGAGATTAGCACTAGCAATCAAATTCATCCTATCGAGATACCACCAGGGTCAACCACAACACTGCCAACCGCAAAGGTTGTAACGAACGGGGAGCAACATACCGGAGACTACTCAGCGGCACAAGGATCTGGGGAGAGGTGGAACGGTTGGAACCCATCAACTCTCCCAATGTCGATCAAAAGGAAGACATCTGCAGATGTTGACGGTTACGCCACGGATCCATCTACCGCTCCCACAGCTTCTGTCCATTCCTTAGACGGACCACAACCCGTAACGGCATCGACATCAACTGGGCCGGGTTCAAGTGTGGCTGTGCCGCTGATTCATAACGAAGCAATCGCGAATCAAGACAGCCGCGCCGCGAAAGCCATCGTCGCAACGAAAGTGACCACCAAACCTCAGAAGCCAACGCGGAAACTCACCACAGTCCGAGAGCTGGCACAGTACTTCCCGGACCGCTACTAGTACCGCCCAGAGGGCGCCCGCATTCCGTTTACTAGTCAACGTGACAGCAGTCTTCCGCAACCCGCCACTCGTCGGACATCGTCCTCGGGCACAGCCGACCCTAGACGGAAGACAAACCAAAATGCCGGAAGTGCAAGGGAAAAGGACGACAAGTACTGGCCAGGCACGGAGCCGACTACGTCATACTTCCCCTTTCCAGAAACGGACTTCAACCCGACAAACGTCAGTCCGGTGGCCAAGGCCTCGTACTACTTCACTCCGGTCCTGGAACGGACGGTGGACGGTGATCGAGTGTGCTACATGTGCCTCGGCAGCTTGGGAAGTGGATCGGAAGCGTGCCGTTGCAAAGGCTAAACTCAGCTCTCGTTACCAACGCGGAACTCTCACTCGGTCGCGAATGTGGTTGTGATCTCGGTCTCTGAAGGACCGGGCCCAGAGGCCGAGGGATCCTGGCTTCACGTTGTCCATCAACGACTCAATGCAACCGCCGCCTGCGCCAGGCCATATATGATGATACAGCCGACAACAAGACAAGCTCCACGAACTTCGCCGCAGGAAACGGGGCAATACCATCCTCAAAGCAGTGCCTAGAACCCACGAACTACATACCGGCGAAAACTAGGTAGCAGGTGTCGAGAAGCCTCGTTGGCGCTATGTACTATGCTACAAAGAGGCACAAGTGGGAACTCGCTACGCACGGGCAAAGTCCCGTCATCCCCGACAGGATGATTCGACGAGACCAATCTCGCTGCTCTGTCGAGAACGATCGGAATTACAATAGGCTATCATTCAATTAAGCATCCCAGGGCTGCAACCAGTCCTAAACAAACAGTAACTTCATGTGCTTTAAAATGAAAGATATTCCTCGGGTCTGACTGTCTCCGCAGGTGAGCTCGTGCGGCCACCAATTTGCGCCCGCGCCCCCCAGATCATTCACTCTTTCAGTGCCTCCGCTTTAGCCCAATCTCCAACCCCAACGGCTTCCTCAAGAACCCCTCCCTGGTATTCATGCTGTCCTGCCTCAGAAACACTTCATACCGCCTCGCCCAGGTCGCCACAATCAGCTTCATCTCCATCTCAGCCACATTCCTCCCCACACATGCCCTCGGCCCATAGCTAAACGGGATGAACGCGTTCTTCTGCCTCGGCGTCAAGCTCTCCCACCGCTCAGGCCTAAACTCGGTCCGCATCCGCGCCCCAAATCTCCTTGGAGTGATGGATCGAGTATGTCGGCACGCTGAGGACGGTGCCGGGCGGAAGGTAGTGGCCCTTGTAGTGCAGCCCCTTGCCGTCCGGGGGCACCTGTCTGGGCAGGCCGATGCCCGAGGTCGAGTGGAAGCGGAGCGTCTCGTTGACGACGGCCGAGAGGTACGGCAGGTCGCGGACCATGTCGAACGTGGGCACGTCCAGGTCGGCAGGATGGCGGCGTCGAGCTCGGCCTGGAGCTTCGGGATCACGCCCGGGGTGCGCACGGCGTGAAAGAGGAGGGCGCACGACGAGTTGGAGGTTGTGCCGCTGCCGGCGATGAGTTGCGTCAGCGCCTCGGCCGTGAGCTCCTGCCGGCCGAGGGGCTCGCCCTTCTCGTCGCGGCCTTCGATCAGCCGCTGCAAGAGGTCCTTGCGCTGGGCTGGAAGGGGGTTCTCCAGGCGGGCCTTGACGCGCGCGATGGCAATGCCCGCGAGGTTCTCGACTGCTTGCAGGCCCTTGCTAAAGAAGGGGTCCGGGAAGTACTTGGCGTAGGGCTTTAGCTGAGGGAGGACGCCCAAGGTGGCCGACACTTCACCGCGCCGGTTGAGAATTTCGATGGCCGGGGCGTAAATGGGTGGGCTGTCAGGGGAGGAGCGAACCTCGGCCATGTCGGCGCCGGATGAGAGCATGCCAAACGGCGCACCGAAAGCGAGGTCACCGATGACATCGAAGGTGAGGTAGTTAAACCAGTTCAGGCAATCGAGGTAGGCCGCGCCATCGGGGTTGTTGGAACGCGAGATCAAACTGTCCAGCTGCCGGACGAAGAGCTCGAGGTTGCTATGGATGTAGGGCTCGAACTGGGCAACCGACTTGACAGAAAAGGTGCGCGAAACAATCTTGCGCTTGCGTGAGTGCTCGGCGCGATATCTTGTGTTGAAACAGGCCTCTTTGGATGCTGACGAAAGCATCATAGAAGTCCCTGGGAATGTATCCAATATTAGTGCCGTGCGGCATCTTGCTTCACTGAATGTACTCACGCTTTAAAGAACCCATTGCCATGGCCATAGACAACCTGAATGGCCTCGTCATCGCAGAGGCTTACATGGTTGGGTTGGATGCGCACAACGGGACCCAGCTTCTTGTGCAGCTTGTCGACGGTCTCGTATCGATAGCCTCGGCGGCACACCAGCAAAAGCCACCAGTTTGTGAACTGGGCTGGGAACGGCGCCGGGATCCATTGCAGGTGTCGATAGGTCACGAGATATGGATATACATAGTAAGCCACGGCAGCGACCAGCAGAGCGGCTGGCGCCCATGTCGAGAGGAGGAATGTAACGATGGCCATGTTCTGCCCGAGTCAGGGTGGCAGCACACAAGAAGGCAAGACACTGGCATTGGAAGCAAGACAAACCTTAGATGCCGGCGATATAAATTAAAATCAGCTGCATCCGATGATCCGTAACCGGCAGCCCTGCATGGAAACTCTTCCAGAAAGGTAGAGATAAAGATGATGCTGTGTTGACTAGAATGCAACTCTCAATTGAAATGAAGAAGAGCTGAGGAGAATGAACCAGTGGGGGGAGGCATCCAAACAATATCAGAGACTGGAAAGCCCCGAGGCGGTGCCGCGGTGGCGCAGACTGCCAGCTGGGAGCGAACACAAACCATTGACCAGATTTGCATGCACCACCTACTTCTCCGTCAGGCTGAGCCAGCTGTTGGAGATGACCTTGAACGGATCGGCGCGTCCAACGACCTGAACACAAAGCCTTCGCGGATACCCCCGAACTGTCCCTCGCCCTCAGCCTTCCTCAGCAGCTCATCCAAATCGGGCGCGAAATCTCTATGAGTGCAATGGCCGAAAACAGGGACGTGCTTCATGCCGTACTGGACGCAAAGTTCCACCACCTCCTTGGGACGCAGGTAGGCGCCCTTGTCAATGTCCCAGATGGCGAAGACGAGAAACTCGTGCTCTCCTTCGGGATATTGCAACATGTTGCCCCTCAATGGAGGAGCCGACGAGTTCGCCTTGCACAGCGAGGTTGGGCATGGCAAACCGGCGGAGCTTGGCCAGGATTCCCGACGCCTTGGCCATCTGCCAGTAGAGATTGTTGTGCCGGTCAATGAAGTCTCCTTTCCGGCAACATACGCCGTACCGATTCCTGTCGTCTTGCATGGTGGACGGGCAGTTGGCTGGTAGGGCGGGGAGGCAGTCGACGGCCCAGCGTGAGTCCTTGGCGATTTCGTAGACGGTCATGGTGACGCCGTCGAGCTTCTCGGTGATCTGCCAAATCTTTCGCTGCTTTCCCCGCGAGAACCATCCCTTTTCAACGTCCAGTATCCGGTCCCATCTGTGCATGCGGATGAAGGCCGGCGCGCTTCCGAGATTCGGGAGGGTCAGCGCGGTCTCGGTGAACTCTTACTTGACGACGCCCAGGAGGTCTGCGAAGGACTTGGCCAGGAGCTCCTCTGTCGCGGTCTTGCGTCACACCATGTCGAGCTGCGAGATCGGACGGCTTCCCGGGCTTGGAGGGGACCTTGAGCTGCGCATAGATGTCGCGGCAGAGTTGCGCCTTGGTCATACCGGGCTTCTTGAGATGAGCGTTGATCTTGCTTCGGACCTCGTCGCACGTGTCAAAGGCAGTTACCACGTCATCGTCCTCACCAGGAAGGAAGATGTCGCTAAGGTCAGGAACATCAGGGGCAGCCGCGCTTCCGTTTCCGGCAGCGCCGACCTTCTGCTTCTTGACAACAGGCGGCTTGATGCCCGCCATCTCGCGTTTCTTGAAAAACTCCCATGTCCCGCCGTAGGCCGCAAATCCTGACCCGTTCATGGGGCCATGGGTGCCGAGGAAGCCGCTCAGGGACTTGGCACTGTCGCCAATCTCACGCACAAAGGCCGTCTTGGTCATGGCGCCGGAGTCGATGAATCGGTTTAAGTTTGCGGCGCACCTGGTCACGGTTTTCGTCCATCGGGAAGCCTTCAAGATCAATTGAGTCCAAGTCAACCGCCGCCACCGGCGCGTGCGCCTCTGTGGACTTGCGCTTCTTGCTGCGAGCTTGGTAGCGGGCGGCATAACGGGCACATTCTCCTGGCCCGGGGCAGCAGGGAGCCCGGCGACGGGCGTTGGGCCAACTGGGGCGTTGACGGCGCCGGGCAATGAGCCCAACGCTGTTCGTGAAAACTGATTCCGCCTTGTTGTCAGTTTGGTTGCAGCTAGCAGCGCGAATACTGATACACACCTCGGAAGACATTTCGTTCGCGTGGTCTCTGTGCGAACAATCGTATACGCACCCTTTATCTAGAAGCTTGTGTGGTATCTTCGAATTAAAAAAATCGCAATGCGGTTCTCAAAGGATGTCAAGGTTTCATGTCTGGCGGTTTATCTCCTGAAAAGAGAGAGTCAAGAGACCGTGTTTGGGAACCCCATCTTGAACGACGGCACACGTTTCCAAACAAAGTAGCAAGAGTGCCCCCTGATGTGGCACGCCAGTCTCTCGGTTCCACCATTTTCCATCATCGCCAAGATCAATAGACCTAGAATCATCGATTGTTGACGGGCGCCAAAAACTGCTCAGTTGAAGTTGTTCGTGAACGACTTGCGACTTCGATAACCCCCATTCATTTCCCAAAGTCTACAGCACAAATACCTTTCAAAGTCGGCGAGGTGCCCCGGTGGGCCCCTTCAGGCCTGTACCCGAGTTTTGCCCCTGTCCTACAACCGGGATGCATTTACTGTACTTGTACATTACAAGTAAGGTACTGAAAGCTACCGGATATTTCAAGGCTTACTGTTGTACCGTATCCGTATATTCTCAACCAACTGGGTTTTCGCTAACATGGGTAAGTCCCTCCTGATTGGCTGCGACCTTTGCTTATCCTTCCACTTATCTGATGTGCCTTGACCAGTCGGCCCTTGCTAGTGAAAATCCAGTTGGTTGAGGATCCCAATATACATGTTCTTGCCACACAAACCACCGGGAGCAAATCTTTTGAAACTGACGGTGACGAGGAGTGGTGTAAAACTTAGCCTTCTGCTTCGCTAAGAACCGCCCCTGCTGGAAATTCCCTGAAGCGACGCTGACATGCACGAAGCTGCTCAAGTGCTGACTGCCCAGAACGAACCAAGACTATTTGGGCTGCAGCCGGACATGCCCCCATGTCAACGTCACAATGGAACATCGAGCTTTTCAGTCTCACTATGGGGCTTGAAATTTCCTCGTCTTTCTCGGTGAGACGATAAAGGTCGGAGATTTGCTTCTCTGACTCGCCCCTCACCCATCCCTTCCGCCGTTGTCGTGCCAAGTCAGTACAGTGCTCTGCTGCCATCCTGCCTTGACGATGCAGATCTTCAGTGGCATCCTCGTAAACTGGGTGCTTGCCAGTGTGCTGTGCACGGGCGTCCTGACCTGCGCTCAACCAGGCCAGAAGCCCATTGTCAGGAAGGAATGGTAAGCTACAACTGTCTGAGCACATCCACAGAGCATAGGCTTACACCCGTGACCCTTTCAGGCGCACGCTCTCAGAGTATGAGAAGTCCTCCTACCTCCGGGCGGTCAAGTGCATCCTCAACAAGCCAGCCCTCACCCCGGCCTTCAACAACACGGGCGTCATCTCGCGCTACGATGACCTGGTCTACACCCACATCCAGCAAACGTTTGACATGCATTACACCGGCCACTTCCTTGCCTGGCATCGGTACTACGTCGCCACCTACGAGCTCATGCTGCGCAAAGAGTGCGGCTACAGGGGTGCCCAGCCGTACTGGGACTGGACGCTCGACACACCCGCCGAAAGGTGGGCTTCTTCGCCTGTGTTCGACCCAGTGACTGGCTTCGGCGGCAACGGCGACTTCATTCCAGGCGACCCAACCAATCCGTTTGAGGTTCCGGGCAGGACTGGTGGCGGGTGCGTCAAGGACGGGCCGTTCGCGGGCATCCCGGACCTGGTGCACCTGGGCCCTCGGGACTCGGTCACGTACAACCCGCAGTGCCTGAAGAGGGATTTCAGCCCGTACTTTGCTGGGCGCTACTTGGCTCTGAATCAGACGCAGCTGACGCTGGCTGCACCCGACTTTGGGTGGTTTGACCGGCTTGTTGAGGGCGGGCCCAGTTTCGAAGCGTCGGGCGCCCATGGAGGGGCGCACTATGGGGTTGGTGGGACATACGGTCAGTTTCCCTTTCTCTTCTTTGTGTCATTCTCCTTTTTTTTTTTTTTTTTTTGGTCTGTATGAAGCAGGTGACTGATGCATGACAGGCCAAATGGGCGACCTCTACACCTCCCCGGCTGATCCCATCTTCTACCTGCACCATGCCAACCTGGACCGCGTCTGGTGGTCGTGGCAAAAATTGAACCTTCAGACTCGGTTGACTGATATTTCCGGCCCGATCTTCTTGATGGATTACGACAATGTCCAGGGTGGCAACGTGACGCTGGACTACCCCCTTTCGCTCGGCGTGAGCGCTGTCGATGTCACGGTTGGCGATGTCATGAACATTGCTGGATGCGGCAAGACCGGCGTCTTGTGCTACGAGTATGACAAGGTCTACACGCTACAGAGTTGAGAATTGGGTTAGCCGTGTCTACGAATATGAATCGAATCGTGTAGGATTCAGTTGGCGGTGTGATTCACCACAATCAACGTGCAGGTACGGAGTAGAATACCCAAACTGTTCGTCTGCTCAGAAAGTTCCTCCAATATCATTGGTTCTATATTGTTTACCGTACCCCGTTTTGGCAGCATTCGGAAAGACGAGAAGCTCCTACCTTGATCTACATCGATCCGGATAATGTTGAACATGCGGGACGTGTCAGCCTGTCAGGCCTTACTGGTGGTGACCGAGTAAAGTAAGACCGAAACGGGTAGTTATTATAGTCTAACGAGGTATTGCCCCTGTACTCCCAAATACTAAAACTGGCATAATTAACAGTTAATGACCACGGCTCTGTCTTTGCATGCACATCATCCCGTCTATGCAGGGGGCCGAGAGGCATTCAGCCGTATGATTGGCAACCAAAGAACAAAGTACCTTAGACTGGACGCAGCCTGTCAGGCTCTCAATACCTGTATGTAAATTAAGCGGGGTTCGGGAGTTGCCCAGGGGAAGAATCTTCAATGAGAAGTTCAGTATTTAGCTTCCGCGCAGAATTTCCTTATGGGCAGTGTCCTCCGCGTTTTTGCCCATGCCTGAGTGATCCAGGTCGTTTCTCACGGACCGTCCTGCCAGCATGGGGTTCTCACAGGTCCTCTTTTGTCTGTTTGCAGTTCCGCGCCTAACGGGTGCCACTCCTTTCAACACGGGCAATGTCAAGCGCCAGGCCTCGGAGCTTCTCGACAGCTACGACTTCATCATTGCTGGCGGCGGTACCAGTGGCTTGACCGTTGCAGATCGGCTCACCGAGGCGTTCCCCGATAGTCCGTCAAACTTCACTCTCGACCCGGTTACCGTGGTACAGAGTGACTGGCTGACAACATCTCTTCTTCCCTGACAGGAAACGTTCTCGTCATTGAGTATGGCGAGGTCGAGTACGCCCCCGGTGTCTTCGACCCCCCCGTCATTAGCTGGGGAACTGCCGGTGGTCTAGCAAGCGGTTGGCTGCTCAACTCCACTCCGAGTCCTGAGCTAAACAATAACACGGCTCTCGTCATGGCTGGCCAAGTCGTAGGCGGAAGCAGCGCTATCAATGGTATGTTCTTTGACCGGGGTTCGCGGTTTGACTATGATAGTTGGGATCGACTCCAGGGTGACCGGACGGGCTCGCGAGAGAAAGACACTGATTGGAGCTGGGATGGTGTTTACCCGTTTTTCAAAAAGAGTGTCACCTTCACACCGCCCCCTAAAGCAGTCGCCAAAAAGTACAACTACACCTGGGACACATCCACGTTCGGTAACACCACGCCTATCTATGCCAGTCTCCCGCCATTCCTCTGGGGAGACCACTACGTGTCCCGCCAATCATGGCAAGAGATGGGAATCCGGGTGGCCCGGGAGTGCGCTAACGGCGACAAGGAAGGTCTTTGCTGGATCCCCATCTCCGAACACCCCGTCACAGCAAGTCGCTCCTATGCAGGCATAGGCCATTACTCGGAAGTGGTAGGGAAGAGACCCAACTATCACCTCTTCGTCAAACATCAGGTCGCTCGTGTGGTGTATCCGAAAGGGAATGCGAAGGAAGGACAGCCTGTGGTGGAAGTGCGACCCGTTGCCGGCGGTCCATCATTTACTATCTCCGCGAAAAAGGAAGTCGTGCTCTCCGCTGGTGTGTTTGGAACCCCAGCGATACTGCAGCGAAGCGGGATCGGGCCCCCTGCTTTCCTCCAAAGCGCGAACATTCCCTTAGTCCTTGACCTGCCGGGTGTCGGTTCGAACCTGCAGGACCACTCAGGACCCCGAGTGCAATGGAACTGCAAGTGGCAATCCCGGCGTAACGTCCTAAAAGAAGCAATTAGCTGACAATATACTGCCAGACACGAGATCACTTCCCTTCTATCCGCTCCCATCTGAAATGCTCAACGAGACCTTTGCCGCGGAAGCAGCGGTGGCCTTCAATCAAACGCCCGCCCAGGGCCCGTACACCCTAGCCATGTCCAACAGCGCAATCTGGGTGCCCCTTCCCAATATCACCGCCACTTACTCGACCATCATCGACTCGATCCGCCGTCTCGCCAATGCCACCCACCCCGCCTCTCTCCACCTGCCTCCCTCCTACAACTCCGAACCGACCCTCATAGCAGGCTATCGCGCCCAGCTCCTCGCTCTCGCCGACCTCCTCGCCAACCCACGCTCCCCTAGCCTCGAGAGTACCTTCGCAACAGGCACCTCGGCCGGCGCGGTGCTCCTGCACCCGCTCAGCCGCGGCACCGTCCGTCTCAACCTCACGAGCCCGTTCGACCCGCCCGTCCTGGACTACCGCTCGGCGTCGAACCCAATTGACCTCTCCCTGCACCTGGCCCACACGCGCTACCTGCGCCGCATGATGCACACCGACACGTTCAAGGCACTCGGCGCGGTCGAGGTGCAGCCCGGGGAGACCGTCCAGACGGACGAGGAACTGGAGGCGTTTGTGCGGCGGAGCACGGTGCAGTCGTACATGCACCCCTGCTGCACGGCGGCTATGATGCCGAGGGAGAAAGGTGGCGTCGTCGGGCCGGATCTGAGGGTCCATGGGGCGGGTAGGTTGAGGGTGGTGGATATGAGCGTGTTGCCTGTTTTGCCGGGGGCCCATCTTAGTGCGACGGCGTATGCAGTGGGAGAGAAGGTGAGTCTGGTTCATGAATGTTTCGCCCGAGACACAATCTCATTTGCCGGGCCTGGGGAGTGTATTTCCGAGCGTTGATCGAGCTCTGGGACCGTGGAGCCTAGGTCCGCAAGTGGCCTGGTGGTGGTGAGCTGGGAGCCATGGATATTGCTAACGTAAGATTTTCTACAGGCTGCAGATATCATCATAAACCAATGGTCTAAGAGAAAGGACGGTTAATGAAGGGCTTGAGGTGTAGATAAGGGTGGAAGTGCGGAAGAGGGGATGGAAGCACTTGAATGACCGATGTTCAAAAGGGAAGGTATCTTTGATTGTACGGGGTCGCCAACCTAATTGTACGGGGCCCGCAATGAATTCCGCCACACCTGTGACGGGCTGAGCCTCGGCAACCCTCGTCCAACGCTAATGCTCGTTGAGAACCCCCTTTTATGGGAGCCTCCCCCCTTTTTCGTGGCCTCTGAGCAACGGCCCCATCACGGTTGGCCCTTTTACCTATCGTCCCTACCTAGAGAGTGAGAATCCATTACCGCTTTTTGGCTACTTCTCTGCAATAGCAGGTATACAAGTTCACTCCTCTCTACCACCACTACCTCGGCAGTTACCACACAACTAAGCAAGATTTGAAGCTATTCAGAAGCCATCCCACGCGGAGATAACTATCGTCGACAAGTCGCTGCGAGCCGCCGACGTGATCCCTCTCGGTGAGAGCTTGTGGACCTGGCGGAGACCGAGGGACGCCTTCATCAAGAACAGGATATCGAAGTGTCGACGTTGACGCCGGCACGAGGACGTGGACGGGCTTCGCGGGTCCAGGGCACTACACGAAGACAGGGAAGTGGTCGGGGACAGGGAAGAGGTCGTGGACAGCGACGAGGCCAGCAAAATAGAGTAGAGGAGACCCAAGGAGGTACAGGTCCTGCCTTTAGCGCAGCCATACAGCTCGGGACGCCAGCGCCGGACACCCCCTTGGCTAGTTGACAGATAGGAATGGATGCCTAATTTCCTTGCGATAGATCTCCAAGGCCACAATCCCCATTATCCTCAAGTTGCTCAGACCGATCTTTTTGCTCTGGAGCTTGTTTCCTCCTCTCTTTTTTTTTTTTTTCCCGAGGCTCAGCCCGTCACAGATGTGGCGAATTCAGGGGGTCTGTGCGGACCCCGTACAATTAGGTTGGCAACCCCGTACAGTTAAAGATACTCAAAGGGAATGACCAAGCTTGAAATTCAAACTCCTGGAAAGCCTGACAGAGATGTTTTTCGGTAACTTCGATTTGCTTCAGAGAAAGCAGCTACAGAGTGCTTCTGCGGTGATCTTCCTAAGAAGAACCTGAGGATCTTGTTGACGTTGAGACACGCATTCGTACAATGTCTCGCGGATCTCCGATGCGACGGCGATCCTCTCCTCCTCGTAGAAATCTAGGATGTCATTAGAAAGACTCACCTCAACTTCATGACGTAATCTCAATGCTAACGTACCTGCTACGGCTTGTTTATACGCGGATTGTTGGGATCTAGCTCGCGAATCATGGCGTTGATCATGGGATTCAGCTTTTCCAAAACCTCAGGTGGGATCTTCTTCCCGTCCTCCGAGTTGTAATCCCCGAGCACAGCCCTTCTTCATTGCAAGCCTCTCGCCTGCTGCTATAGCCCCAGAGGACCATTCGGTGTGTGTGGATGAGTTATTGTTGACTGGGCTCTCTACCACTTTTCTGAGATTGGCCCGAAGCGCTTTCTGAAGTCTTCTATAGACATGCCACCGAGCGACGCAACGCAATCGGGATCGTCACCGTGCGCCACCAAGTCTTGGACAAGCATGAATATCTTGAGGCTTGCTCTCAGGTCCCGGAGTTCTCGATTGACCCAAGCGCGATCCGGTGCGGCTATTTTGATCAAGTTATGGGATGTTGCGTCTGGAACGGAAATCGGTTCCTTAGTGACTTGTATACGGAAGCCGATAGGCACAAAACGAATATAACTTTGTACTGGCTTGCGTACTATATTTACGCCCTCAATGCTCAATCATTCAATACATTACTGCTTCAAACCTCTAACGTACTTTATAAGTGAGTGTGCAATATAAGTGAGTGTGTTTGAGAGACAAGCGGCATCAAGGCGAGGCACTGGGCACTGCAAATGCCGACTCAATTCTGCTAATCGAGAGCCAAGAAAAGGAAGAGAGGGAGAGTAGACAGGACGCGTGTCTGCAACACGTGAAGGATAAGTGGGCGCCAGGCCACCCACCGATGACTCATCGAAGAGGGCATGAGTCTAGGGTGCGCTTTCCATCACAGTCTATGCTGATTTCGTTCTTGGCTAGAGATGCGAGGTCCTTGTTTTCCTCTATCATAGAAGGGATAGTTATCAACTAGTTAGCTGAACATTAAGATTATCGGTAATATTATTATTCCTACACCGCTGTGCCCTAGGGCGTGCCGGACCTTCAACAACTTACTATACAGGAAAACCGCGCCCTCGTGGGCCGGGTGAAAAACCCATATCGACAATCCAGAAAACGATCAGTGTGCGATCCTGCAAATACAAAGTGGGAAGGCCTCTTGGCCTTCGAAGGAAAGGGTATCAGACTGCGAGCTCCAGCTCCAGCCTCCTGGCCAGACCGTACATCGGCAGTTTCCCCGAGTCCATCAGCCAGTCCAGGATCCTCCCCGTTAGCCGTGCAGCTTTGGGACTGATTCCCTGTAGGACAGAATAAAAGTCCCTTCGCGTTCTGACCTCGGCTCTCTCCCATCTTCGAGTCAACGGTGGGGCCAAGCACCACATCACAAGGTGTTCGACAGTCTCTCGCCCCTCTCCACACTCGCATATAGGCGTCAGTACCTCTGGGACTCTCCTTTCGAATAAGAAAGCCCGAAGGCCTATGGCCCCGGTTCGAATCTGGATCAACAGTGAACTCTTCGCTCTGCTGAGGCCGTCGTGTCTCCTTAGGGTTTTGTCTTGGAACAGAGTCTCGTGCTGGTGGTCAAGGTCATCTGCGGGCCTAGTTGCTGTCCGGCCGTCTCGTTCCTTGAGCCATCTCTCTCTCCAGGCCTCCTCCATTACTCTGTCCGTGTCGGCAGTCCCTCCCGTCCAAACTGCAATTGTGTTAGCGGCTTCTTCATTATCGGTAATAGGCAGAGCGACCGCAGTCTAATTATTATAAAGACGAGTAGCATCGAGGTATGTATGCACTGCAATTGCTGACTCTAATCTGCTAATCGTAAGTTGAGGAGAAAAGAAAGAGAAGCTGTTGCGTGACGATCTCAAATTACTCTGGGGGTAGTTAGTGCAAATCGAGTTCGAGGCTTCTGAAGGCTGCAGGCAGCCAAGACATTTTCTAGAAAGGCTCGAATATCAATCCGTACGCCTAAACAACTTCGAACTCTGCACCTCTGTACATCAAGTTCTTCATAATCGACCTATATCCATGCAACATTGAACCTCGATTGCACTTTCCTTCTGATCTCGACTCCTTCGGCAGTCGCTGGGCACAGTGTAGATCACAGTGCGGCTGCGCTCCACAGGCCCACCTACCTGGTTGAACGCGTCGGCGAGAAATTCAAGTCTTGAAATCTCAGAACCGCATATTGGTCTCACCGCTTGACAACCCATGTAACTTGAAACATCACATTGCACCCAAACACAAGCAACGGCCGAGCTCCATATGACTGGTCCAACGCAATGCTCCGAAGAAGTCACAAAAAATCCAAAGCTGGGTGCTTGGAGTGCAAGCGTCGTCACGTCAAGGTTTGACCCCTCTCCTTTTTTAGTCTTAAATCAAACCCACCCGGAAATGCTAACCTGGTTGATTCTGACTGAGTTCAGTGTGATGAACAACGGCCAAAGTGTATAATCTGTACACTCTCAGATAGGGACTGCAGTTACCCACCCAACCCTCCTTCTGCCTCCGGCCCCGCGATGACCACACCTGCACCACATGACTTCCCAACTGCTCATCCAGCAACAGCCGCGATTACGAACAATGCCAGTCCCGTCGCTGGCGTGCCCCTCCCCGACATTGCAAGCGGAGCATCAAAGCCGCTGCAAGACCCAACCCAGAACCCACCTGCCGTCAACTTGGGTCACATGGAGTTGCTCATCCGCTTCAGCTTTGGAGAGCATGCACCCGAGCTGAACATTGAGATGCACGAGTTTGCTTCCAAGCTGCTGTTTAAGTGTGCTTTGGAGGCTCCATACTTGATGCACCAGATTCTGGCCGTCTCGGCTCGCCGCTTGGCTGCCCTCGAACCGGACAGGAGAGACTCATTGCTCGAGCAGGCGATACACTTGCAGACAAAAGCCGTCTCTATCTATAACGAGACGGCAGCGAAGGCTCAGATCGACCAAACCAACTGCTCCGCTCTCCTCCTCTTCTGCTCACTGCTTGGCCGACACTTGCTTGCCGATCTGTTGGCAAGGCGAGACCCCGACTTTGACGACTTTTTGACCCGATTCCTCGAGTTCCTTTCCATCTCGCGCGGCTTGATGGCAATGTCAGTCGCCGCCTGGGACCTGCTCCTGCAGTCAGACATTCGCCATCTTGTTCTCTGGGCACTCGAAATCTCCCAGTCGGTCCCTCAAGGCCGCCACTGCGCTGAATTGCAACGTCTCGTGGCTGAGTCGGAGAGTCTGGACGCTTCGGCCAAGGAGGCCTGCATGACAGCCATTGCCTGCCTTCAAGTTGGCTTTGACAGCTTGCTCGGAGGGGACACACGTAATCAGAGATACTTGATGGTGTTTATGTGGTAAGTGTCACAAGTTAAACCCCCTCTTTTTCGTTCTTATCGCTGACAAGCTCCGCAGGGCTCCTGCTGTACCTCAAGAATTCACAAACTTGCTCTCCCAGCGGCGTCCCGAGGCGCTCGCCATCATGGGCCACTGGGCACTCTTGCTCCATTATACCAGGGCATTATGGCATGTTGCCGACTCTGGCTCGCACCTCCTGACCTGCATCTCTCGGTACCTCGGCCGGGAGTGGGACCAGTGGCTCTCTTGGCCCCTTTCTGTCCTCCCTATCGATCCCGCCTAGCACCAGGCATCAACTCACTTGAACATTCACGATTGTGGCATTGTTCCGAGGTATTCGAGGGTGAATGGTTGCACACATCAACAAGAACGCCGAAGGTAAATTGTCCAAACACCCAACACCACATCAATTCGAAGAGACAGCAAGGAAACTATCAACGATTGCCGAAAAGCACAAGCCAAAATATCATGAACGATCAGCCACCCCGGCGAATTCAAAAGACGCGAGAACCCATCCCAAGCAACCATCTTCCCATATGTATCACAGCCGCCTCAAATCAAGCTGCATGGTCCCATACAACCAATTTCTTCACTTCGCCACAGGGTTCCAAGGCCCGGCAAAGGCCGACTCATGCACGTATCTGTCGATGCCGGCGCGGTTGCTGAGCGACGACGCGTACGGATCATTTTTCAGGATTGCTGTGGTTTTGCTTCCGCTGGAACTTGACCTCTTGTCCGACTTCTGGCTGCTATGGCCCTTGGACGTGAAACTGCTTCCCTTGGCTGTCCAAGTCGGTATAAGTATCACTTCACGCTTGCACGAGCTAGAGTGGAGGGAGGCTGACAGTATGAGTAGGCGGAAGAAGAGTTGGAAGACCAGTTCGACATGTCGCTTGACGATTTCGAAGAGCTGATGGTGCTGATGATGCAGTTGGAAGCAAAGGTTAGGACTGAGTCAAGGGAGGAGTGAAGGCTTAGGAGTGGGAACTTCGGGAGTTCGAAGACACACTCTTTCTTATACACCACGAGAATCGAGTGAAGAGTGGAATCATCTCAACGACGTCCCCCAGGAGACGCCCACCCCACCCGCAACCCAAGCGATCCCCGTCTGCCTCTGAAGCAACATCAGCGCCTTCGTTGCTCACATGGCATACGGATATGCTTCCAAAGGTGACATCCGGTCTGTTTCGGATAGCTCAACTGACAGGCAGGACGGCAGATCTGTTTGACAGTCCGCATGCAGAGCTATGTTGTTGTCGTTTCAAGCCTGGGATCCTGACGCTGGCGGCAACGGCACATACACCGCCACGCAGGGTCTGACTTCTCGGCTGGACCGGCTCTGCTTTTGTGCAACGGTCAATAGCCTTGGTTGGCCTTAGGCCAGAGCGTCGGCATGCTGTTCACCTGTCAAGGACGCCGAGTCTCATGCCGTCATCAAAGGTATCCCGGTTCCTAGGTTCCGTGCGACTGCCGGCGCAGCAGAACTCAATGCCGTCACATCACTTGAGCGCATTCAATCTCACCGCTGTCTTTCGGCATCGATCGTCTCCGACTCCGTCATGCTTACCAAACATGTGAGAAACCAACCCTGAAAATCACGCTGCAACTGAGCTCGTACATAACCGTCTATTACCGCCAAGTCATCTCTGGAAGCCCTCGACTCTCAACCAAACCTGTATCTTTTGCCCCTTACGTCCGAAGTGAGAGAGGTCCTTGAGAAGGCGACGGGGGCAACAACTCGAGCACGGGTGCTTGCAGCTCAGATTTTCATTCGGCGGTTGATATGGCATGGGATTGCACGAAGTCGCGTCAAGACGGGCAGTAAGGGGTTCCTGCTTAGCCGGACTCGAAAGGAGACCCACACACGTCGCGTGTCCTTCCGAATGGCTGGGTTGACGAAGGGTTCAAATCCGGAGGTGTCGAAGAGCCCAATCGAGGGCACAACCAGTCGGGCCAGTCTGCCCAGTAGACCAGCTGGATCGCTCATGCACTTACCCGCTCTGCTCGAGCGATGGCGGGGCGATAATGGAAAAGCCCCTGAGTATCGACACGGCCATTTCTTGATTCGGCTGACCGGCGCAATGTGAATCAGACGCCACTGCCGGCCAACAACACCTGCTTCCGTCCCGCAGATCAGGCCCTCGGGAAACTGAAACTGGATATCCCGCAGGATTGACAGCTGAGTACTACACCCCGAGCCTGAGACATGGGCGGCCTGACAGCATCCGCCGTCCGCCCCATGACCGGAGCTCATCAAATGTCATTCGGCGGAATGCCGAGCAAACCCAAGAGAAGTTCCCCGACTGCCGAGAGGTTACCTTCAAGACTGTATGATGCACATCAGGGTTTGTGCCTTGACGCGTGACTCAACACCCTCCTTTCAACTGGGGGACGTTGGGGGATGTGCTGTGTCCATGAGCTATCGCCTCATTGACAGGTAATTCACCATGGAAGCGGGCCCATGTCTCTCCAGAATCCCCGGCCCTCCGAGGATTTATGCATCACAACAACCTCCTCCGAGATCGGATACGTTGAGGCAAGACAATGAGGTTCTCGAGTTCGAGATTGGGTCGCGCATAGGGTTATCTAGGATGGACCGAGACACCTTCGCACGCATATCAGACTCGTGTTCCAAAGTCAGCGTCACCGCCTCCCCGGAAACATTCCGAGGCCATGCCGCCGGGGAGTACCGAGTCCACCAGAAACGCCAGGCCAACGTGTGGCTGTTGACGCCAGCCATACGGGCATCATGCCGCCGTCTCACAAAGAGTCACGACTTCCAACCTAACCCATAACTCCGTGTTCCACAGCATGTGTTCCCGACTTTGGCAGGTCTTAGAGCGAAATTCGAAACTGCGCCATATTCTTCTGGCATCAACGGCCCCCAAACGCCACTCCGCCAGCCCACTGACCAAAGGGCATGCAGTGGCATCTGATCCTTCTCGGCCGAGAAGGTGATTACCGGACGCTTTCCAGGATACCACCAACAATGGGGCCTGTTGCTCATCTTGGCACACAAGGCGGCCATTTCTTGATCACCTGGACCCCGTGCAATGGCACCGCCGTCTCATCACCTGTGATCAGTCCGTCTTCGGGCGCGTTGGCATGTGGTGTGAGTCCGGCAACGACTCCTGACGTATCTGAGGTTTTTCACCGCCATTTCGGATGGCCAAACGAGGCTTTCGGTCGAGCTAAAAATTCCCCCCGCACTTTCCGATCTTGCGTTCGGGAACAACCATCGGGTATCTCGACGGGACATAGGTCGTTCATCCCCAAGGGTTCGTACCGTGATGTCACTTGGAAGGGGCTGAACGCCACTCAGTGTCTTGAAAATGTTGACAGGCTGTTGACATGGCAAAGATAATTGCCGATAGGAAGCAATAAATCGGGCATCTGGCCGTCAGATGCAGGACGGTTGTGGCGCACAACCAGTCTTCCATGCAGTCCAACAAGAGCTGAACCGCGGAACCGGTGCCGGGTGAAATTGTGCAACGGTGCTTGTTAGCTTCGCTATCAGCTATCCAAGGCTGGCTGCTTTCCATATCGGGTGCCCCGTGGAGATCCGCGAAGTCAGGGGTTCGATTGGAACAGGTATAGTAGCCTCAGCAAATATTTGTACGATTGGGGACCTCCTTGCCCGAGTGTACTGCATGGAGCAAGTGGCTGGGTCCTGATACCGGAAAGTGAAGAGCAAGAGCTTGAAGAGCATGTAGCTGATGAATGTTGGTTTGTCTGTCCGCTCAGTCGTCATGACACGCGCAACGGAGTACTAGCGTACTTTTCTCGTCATAGTGGTGGGACAGGCTGACAAAATGCCGTCAGAAGGGTGTCCTGTTTGGCAGTCAACTTCCTGAACTCTTGCGGTCGCGAAGCCTAGCGGTTGCAGGATTCACTTCGCGAAAATAACGGCTGTATGGTAGAAGGTACTTGATGGAGGGCGGCACTTGAACGATGGGGTCGCCATCACGATGACACACATTGCAAGGGGCTCCAGTTCAGCTTTCCTGCTAGCGGACATTGCCGCCGGCTGTTCAAAGAATCGACATTCCGCCCAAATGATGCGAGTTCAAGTTAGATAGCAACTTGATCTTGACTTGTGAGATGGACAGTTTTGCCAAATATGGGGGCACCATCAACGTTCAGGTCCTGGTCACATTGAGGGTATCGTAACCCAGGCAACAGCGTGTCATTCGAGACGGTCAGAGTTATGCGGATGCTGAGTGCAGTGGTGATGTACTTACCTTATCCTCGCTTGTTCCGGATGCATTTGAATCATCAGCTGATGCATATCATTTTCCGAGAGCATGGGAGGAACACATGCCGATCACAGCATAAGAAAATCAAAGGCACGTATCCTATCCATGCCAACCCCTTCGCACCCCCCCACCTCCTTCTCTTCTTTCTTTTCCTTTGCTTTATTCTCACATTCTTCTCCCTGTCTTTTGTCCAATTTCCTGCTTTTCAGAGATCTCTTCACACCTCAATTTCTCGACGGATTCTGAACTATGCTTGAGTTGAGAGCATTTGAAGTCGCGTCTCAGTCATGAAGGCTCGCCAACCCGCGGTCATTGTGACGAAATCATGTAACCAACACATTTGATGTCCGAGTCGAGCGATATTGGACGCCGTGATTCACAGTTTTGGTTGAAAATTGGCGGCTATGGTATGGACGCATCGATGATTGACGCAGTGTTCCCAGTACCCATTCAATCCATTAGAGCGAGACAACACCCTCGACGACGTTAGGAAACAGAAAGACTTGTCTGGGTAGACGGATATGGGACTCGTTCAACCATACTGGGTAGAGCAGAGCGATCATGGTCGATGAGGGTGAGTGAGAAATTGTGTCATAAGATGCTGAACTGCCTGACAGTCTCTATTATGGCAATGAAGGACTCCTCGACCTCGAAGCGTGTCGGGAGCTCTGTGTCTCCGGTTAGCTCGCACCACCGTAATTCAAGTCAAGGGGAATTGAGATACCTCAAACACTCCAATCGCTACCTAGGAGTCGCCCGCAAAATGCAAAAGGTTTGTCGTGTGGCTGGACTTAAGCACGCGACCGAAGACTTGCGGAAGGAGATCGCCTGATGTTACTCTTCCGCAGTGAACAAATCATACTTCTTCGCAGCCGCTGGCAAGCCGTCACAGAGTCCGTTTGGCTCCCGGCGTCGCCACGCCATTGCCATTGCCCGATTAACCGCAAACTCGCCTTGCATCAGCGCGGGTTCTTTGAGGCCGATCAGCGTCATGAGGGCAAGCATCTCAGCCTTATCGCCGTTTCGGCCGATGATATGGAAGAGGTACGGGACGATGGATGTCTTGCTACGCTTCGCAAAAGGACTGATAAGCGGAAGGCTGCCAGGGCAGCACGACGATGATGGTGCCTCGGCTGTGGTTTCGGCCTCTGTGGATCTGGTTTGGTCGGCTGCATCCCTGCTGTAATCGGAACTCTCGACTGCTGAGTTCAAGTTCCTCAGTCGGTTTGAACACTCGCTTGACATGTAAGAAGGTCATTGTGGTGTATTTATGGCTGTTGTAGTTCCCAATTGTATTATGCAATACTCCGTACAGACATGGTCCATTTGTGCACTGATGTTAAGGTAATTGGCAGGTATAACATGTAATGAGTTGCAGGTGGCAAGGGACGCGCGGCATCATTTGTGTTGTATCTGGGCCAATGCAACAAGAGGATCAATACTGCGACTTTAGGATGATGGATTCACAAACACACGCGGAAGTAATGATGTCGCATAAAGCAGCCGACTCTTGGCACACACCACGGCTCAGAATTAATTGGTGGACCCACACAAAACTTGGTACCCCATCCAGCGAATGACATGGTGCCTGACTAAAACCCCACAGAGAGCGGAAGCATCGGTCCTTGACGGGGCACATTACATTACAATACGTACAAGTGCGGGAGGGCGTTTTGCCCAGTGGTTATGACTTTCCAAGTACCTTAGTATATCAGCACGTCCAGCGGAATTGATTGGCACTTACAACTATTGGCCGGAGACTAAGCCGGACTTGGAGCGTAAAGAGGCCTCGGGTTTGCATGGGTAGCGGGCCACTGTGGTTAGCAGGAGGAGCAAGCATGAAGACCCGTATTGGCGCATCTAACATTACGAGTTCGGCAACAGCCCGCTACCAATCGCATGGACGGGAGCGCCATGGGTCTGTGCTCAGGCACAGGTGACTCCTTCCCTAGCCTGGACCACATGCCCATCCTGTCCGGCAACAGGACCTTCCTTGCTTTCCTGGTGTCCTGATTTTCGATGGGGCGTTCAAGCGTTGGAGGCCCAAAGCGACGTAACCACTAACGAAACACAAACGCACTCGCCCAACCACTGGACATCGTGTCTTGTGTTGGACTGACTGCCCAGGTGGCTTGCCAACCTCTTCACCACAGCTCGCCAACCCTGGTCTGTCGCTTCATCCGCTCGTTTGGACTCCTGTTCTCATCGACACAATCTGGTTCCATTTTCCACGGCGACCGAACCGTTTCACCGACCGGAAGCGCCGACCCTCATGTTGCACGCGAACGAATAATCAACGTTGCCCACGAACCCCTTCCGCTCGTTTGGAACTCGGTTTACGAACGCCGAAAAGCCACCGCGCCTCAAAATAGACGCCAAACACAGACCCGCGATAGGACCGACCCGTCATCCGGCGACTGTATTTCCTTTCGGCTTCGTTGCCATTGGAGACGATAGAGCCGATCGCTTGTTCGAGTGCACTGTTGAAGAACCCGGCTCACAACTACGAGGACTCCCTCGACAAAGCACCCGAGTTTGGCCGACAAACACAATTGTATTTCAAGAAGGAGCAAAAGGTTGTCGTGTATACTGCGAGGTAGCGAGTATCGACGAATCCCGGCCACTTCCGGTTGCAGCACTTCTTTGTCCGGATTCCACATTGACTGTTGGCGGCTGCTTTCGAGGCCGTCAAGGGATTGAAACACAAGATCAGACTGCGACGGACAAGCTGGATCTTCAGGTATTCGCCAACCGCGCCGCCGACGATCACGTTGTCGGACTTTGCAGCCGATTCGACCTGCGTTCGATCTTGCATTGGACGATTGCTTGACCTGCACTCACGGCTGTTGCGAGAGATCGCCCCACGATTGTTGCAAGATGGGTAGGTGATTTATGTTGGCCACATCATCAGTCACATCTTGTGCTATTACACGATGTGCAGCCTTTAAAGGCTGCCCTGCTAACCCTCTTTGTCACAGAGACGACAATCTTCCCTCTAGCAACATTACCCGCTTGCGCCTCGCAGTGTGGTCCCTTATATGATGTGAACGGCGCCTGCGTTCCCCCAGCAGCCCCGACCGCCGACGCACTCACGTACGATAGCTGCTTCTGCAGCGATTCCCGCCTTGCTCCGTTCAGCTCCGGCACAGCTGGGGTTTGCGATACAGTTTGCACGGCGAACCCCGCAGATTTGGGCAGCATTCGAAATTGGTATACGAGTTTCTGCCAGAGCGTCGAGTCGGCAAAGGGAGTGGCCACGCCAACTGCATCATCAAGCTCACGGCCGAGCACTGGTGGAGGTGGTGGTTCGACCTGGTATGGAAAACCTGCTCCCTAGAAACTAACATCACACGTGAATGAGGATCGTCGCCTCGTTCATGGCGGCTACTCCATTTCTTGCTTGGATTGGGCGCATGAGACTAACCGGTTACGCCCTTTGCAGGCTAAGCACTCATTACCAATGGGTTATTTTCCTCGTCATTATGGTTGTCGCCATCGTCGGCATCTGGGTGGGCGCCTGCATCTGGCGTCGCCGCTACCTCCGCAAGAAGGACCGGGTGTATGCCCTCGGCACTGGTCGGGCTCGCGCGACCGAGTCCGGGCGAGTGGTTCCCAATGCCGACAGTGCCGGGTCAATACACGTGCCTGCTGCGGGCATGTTTGACCCCGCTCCCATCAGCTCCGCCGGTGTGTACGGCGACGGCGCTGAGAAGCCCAAGAGGAAGAAGTGGCTTTCCAGGGACCGCACGTAGAGCAGCCACGGGAGCTCAGCAAAGGGGCACAACGTCAGACCCACAATACGACTGACACACTTGAATTCACGGTGTATATTTTCCCTCGGTCGCTGCGTGGATGAACGATCTTGGAGCCGCCGAACCGACCATGCATTCTTCTACTTTGAGAACATGCATTTCAACACAACTCCCACATTCTGGTTGCCAACCTACAAAGTCCAGTGTAATCAACTTGAATATCCTCCTTTTTTCGATACTCTCCTTACAAAAAGCTATGGTAGGGACGGCCAGACACGGGCGGAACGACATGGCCAGTGGCGGTTTGGCGTTGAGGGCTGGCGTTTGACTTCACATTGTTTTTATTCTCAAAGACCACCCAACGTGGGCTGTACAGGCGGCGGTCTCATGTCCACATCGCTCCTTCAGATTATGATAGTTCATTGCATTTCAATATAGAACATATCACTCGTCATTTTCTTTCCCGTAAGAGGGCAGTGGTTTACCACCCGGGTTTACTCCAAATCGCAGATCCTGGCGATAGAGTTAAGCGCGACTGGTACCGAATTGGGTTGACAAAAAACAAATCAAACAAAACTAACAACTGAAATCCCCTTGTGGTGTAGTTGGCTATCACGTTCGGCTGTAAATGCGTTTATTGATACCGAAAGGTCACCGGCTCGATTCCGGTCGAGGGGACTCCAATTTTTCCAGTTTTGGCATGTCATCCAACACCCTAACCCTGAAACTTTGACCCTGACGGCCGTTGTACTTCTTTTCCTACTGTATTTGCTCTCCGCTTTTTCCTCCAAAAAGTTGACTTGCCCGTTCTCTTACGCTCGATTTGGCGTCGTCTTCGGCGGCGTCAAATTGCCTGTCGTTGTATGATACGCTGCCCATCGTTAGCTCTTCTCTCGTCTAGGACGCCTTGTTTGACAGAATGGAGACCACCATGTTTATCATTGCTGGACACGGTTATCATTGTGCGTCTAATTGGTATTTGAGCTTGTCTCTAACCATCCCAGAATCCCACTCCACTGTCATCGATAAAGGTACCACTGAAAGAGAGCGAGGTCGACCAGGGTAGGGTGAAAGTAGCAACGGCGCCTGAACGCCACACCTGACTCGCGATCCGTGGTCACACCAACATGCCGTTCCGTCTCTCACCCACAACTCTCAGCATCCGCCATGGCGCCTCACCTCAAGGGCAGGGCCTGCGCCTCTAGCTTGGCCTGCTCCTCGGCCGCGTCCATGTACAGGTCAATCAGGCAGCCGGCAGACCATGCCTGGGTTGGGCTCTGTCACTTGTTAGCAAACTGCCATTCCCTATTGAAGTACCAACATCCCGGCTCAAAGAGGAAGATAAAGGCCGAGTAATAAGAAAGAGAAACTCACTGAATCAGGACATTCATCCCCACCCTTCTGCGTCAACTCGGTCAACCCGGCCCAAGGACTCCGCTGTATCATCTCCTTGCACGCAATCAGTCTCCTAGTGACCTGCTGGAACGCCTCGGTACGGCCCTCCGCATCCTGCCGCCCCCTACGCATCAGGTCAAACTTGAGCAGCGCGCGCAGGAAGAAACCCGTCGGCCACAGCCACTCGGGACCCTGGTGGTAGTTGCGCCCTTTACTTGTCGCGAAGTCGTCGCTGTCTTCGCTGTTGCGGTAGTACGGCCGGTAGTTGAGGTCGGACGGGTCGAGCGTGGCCATGCCCGTCGGCCCACGGAGGACGGCGTCGGCAACGCAGAGGGCGTGCATTGCGTGGAACGGGTCGAAGAGGTCCGGTGCGACCGTCATGGCAATGGGGAAGTTGGGGCGCAGCTGGTAGTCTTCGTATTCCTTGCCTGAGCGGTAAAGGTCCTTGTAGATGCCCCGACGGTTGATGACGGCCGGGTTGACGTCGTAGTCGGCGTCGGAGGAGGAGGAAACGGGCACAAAGAAGCAACGTTCAAAGTTGGATCTGATGAGATTCGCCCAATCTTTGAACGTGATCTCAGAGCCGTCGGCTTTGCGGACGGATGACTGCGAGTAGTGGCCTCGCTCGTTGAGTGTTGACACCCAGTTAAGTGCGCTGTAAAGGAGGCCAATAATCTCGACAGCGGCACCGTCGCGGGGGGTGCCCGGGACGCCCTTGGAACCTGCCCGCTCGCTCTCGCCCATCTTGTCCATCCAGGTGCCGCAGTTGTGCTGGTTGCCACCAAAAACGAAGCCGTTGCTCCAATCGACCTTGATCTCTTGGTTGAAGCCCTCGTCCCGCATCTGCATGTCAAGTCCGGGGCCGGCATTCGCCTCACGGAACTTCATGCCTTCAGCGTGGCGTTGAAAGATCTCCTGGATGATCTCACGGATGGTGCTCTCCTTGCTGTACGCCCGGGGGTCGTCAGTGGGAAGCCAGGTGTCGTCGTATGGCAGGAACCGCCTCTTGACTTTCTCGTCGAGCAGGGACAAGCCATCCGGCGCTAGCTGGGTGTAGTCCTGGATGCACTGCAGGAAGAACCAGACGGAATCTCGAGCATTGTAACGCGGAGTATTGCCGCTTCCGAGGAGGTTTGGAATCATGCCGTGCTTGAGAACGCTCGCGAAAGCCCGGATGTGCTCCTTTGCCTCCGCGAAGCGACCCGTACCCAGGTACAAGCCTCGAAGTGAAATGAAGACGTCGCGGCCCCAGCAGCGCGCCCACTCAACGGCAAAATGCGGAAGACCAGCCGCAAGTGACGGGACCAGGCGGTCTGGGTAGAGCGACGCAGACTTGACGAAACTAGTTTGTTGGACGCTGACCATGGCGAGACTCTGCACGAACCATTGTCCGTTGCGGATATTGTTGTTCATGAGAGAAATCCCTCTCTCGGTAGCGGCCATGTAGGCAGTTCTGAGCACCAAACCGAAGTAGCGGGGAAGGAGGAAGCTGGGGATGCTACGGATGGCATCGAATCGTTCCTTGATCCAAGCTGCGGGTTTGGCCAGACGGCTGTAGAGTGGTTGCTGGGAGGCACGCTCCAGCCTGCCAGCGATGTAGTCGAGAGCCCACTGCCCGTCACGAAGGTTCTGGCAAAGGGGGTGGGCGAGGTTGTTTTCCTTGATAACGTCCTTGAGGACGCTCCACCACCCTTGCAAGCCGGCATAGACAAGCTTGCCGTGGCCGGGAATGTCATATACGCCATCCCGCCCATCGCTGGCGTCCCGCTCCTCCGGCTCGCACTTGTACAGCAAGAAGTTCAAGTCGACCAGGTCAAGTTCCTCCATCGCTGCCTTGGCGCCGGATGTCACGAACGTGTCCAGGCCACTCGAATGCTCTGCTGTGGGTATCCAGGTCTCGAACAAGGCAATGCTGCCAGGAGGGAACCTGTCACGGACGGTGATGATGGTATCATCGCCCTTGATCTCCATGCGAATACCGGGAACCGCGATCAGGCGGCTCGGCAAACCGCGCAGGTACTTTTTGTCGCTCAGGACCTCCTCAACGGTTTCCTTGCTCGCATCCACCTCGATCATCCAGCTGCCCAGGTGTTTAGCTTTAGTACCTGCGAGGCGGACCGGGTTGAAGGCGCCGCTTCCGTTGCCATAGCCGGGAAAAGCAGTGTGGGCAATGAGGAAGTACCCTTTTCGTGAGCCCGGATGCACCCTATGAACCGTGACATATTCGCCCTCGTGATGAATGTGTGTCTCGTCGTAGCCGTCCATTCCCATGAGGGTATGGATCTGGTTGAGCAGCTTCTTGACGCCTGCAATGCCACCCTTGCCCTCACCAACCTTCACCGGGAATTTGGATGCCTCGGATGTGTAGAGGCGGGTTTCCCCAACGAGATCAACCAGTTTAGGGTAAATCTCGTCATACCCCATGACACTTCCCGTTGCGCTGGCGCACATGCTAACCAAGGCGGCATTAGGCAAGGTGTCACGGGCATCCCGCTTTTGGGCAGGAACCTCGTTGTCATGGGTGCAGTCCATGAACAGCGCTTGAACAGGGACGGGTTTGATACGGCGTGTAATCTCGCGAGTGTACTCGTAGCCATTCACGGCGGCATCTCCGGGACTGCGCACCTCAGTGCTGGAGATCTCATCCACTTCAAAGCTTCCGATGGGACGGCCGCCGTGGCGATGAACAAGTCGGCTGAGCTCGCCAGTACTCCAAGCCTGCATGGCCTCACGGATGAGGGCGCTGAGGCCAAGCCGCTTGACGAACACATAATCCATCTCCTCGGAGCCGGTGAACAGCTCAGCGACGACGTAGAGGTTCGGACGAACACGACGGGCCTCGTCCAGGATGTGCTCAGCGACGTGCAGAGGCGTGGAATGGCAGTTGTCGATACGGAAGCCGGCGAAGTACTTGGCGAGCATGCGCGCATACTTGGTCATGTGCTCCCAGAGCCAGGGGCTATCCTTTGGCCCCTTCCCGTACCGCAACTTCGTACAATCACCCCAGACAATGACTTCTCGACGAAGGTAGACCCGAGATTGCGGGCCGGCATTATCGACCAAAGCGTTTCCGCCCCAAACCCACCCATTATTCACAAGAACCAGGTCCTCCTTCTTGTGCCTGGCAGTAGTTTCGTTTCGCGGCAGACGAGTGAAATACGTCTCGATCAGAGGTTTTTCGTGGTTGATGGGTCCCAATTTTGGACCATGCTCATCCAAGCGGACGTACTTGATGCGGTTGAAGAGCTGCTGGAGGATCTCGGCCAGTTCCATGTCGTATTCCTGGTAGAAGGGAACATTGACAATATGGAGGATCTCGACGATTTTGGTCTCGGCCGCCGCTTGGTCAGCGGTGTCCCCATTATCGCCCTTGTATCTCCCAAACAGGGCTGACAAGAGAGCGGCGGCAGCGATAGGGTCAACCGCCCTCCTGAACCGCTCCCCCAGGCGGTCCATCCCCTTGATGCCGTGCTTCATCAGCCACTGTGCAAGCTCTTCCGAGGTTGCTGAGCGTAAAGCGTCAGGCCCACCAGCGGGAAGAGAACCCTCTGGAAACGTGGCCTTGCCAATGACCCACGACTCTACCGCCGCATCGGCATCTCGCTCGACATCAATGACGTAGTACTCCCATAGACGGATCTCGGCGATGACCTCCTTCTTGATGGCATCCATGATCTTGACAAGATCGTCTATGGTTTTGAGCTCAGTGGGCAGTCCGAGTTGCTCCAGCTTGTATCCCAGCTCCAACAGCTTCGTGTCCAGGAGATAGGCCGACTCAAGCCACGGAGCTGTAGTCAGGTTGTAACCCGCTTCTGGATGCTCCTGCAGCCATTGGCTGTTGTGGGCGGTGTGATTAAGAACGATATCCGTCAAGCTGAGCAAAGAGTGGTTCTTTTCCAAACTCTCGACCATCTTCTGAACGTCCTTCTCGCCCTCGGGGAAGCACACGGGGTCCCAGCCGAGCTGGTCGTACAGGCTGTAGGGCGAGTTCGAGGCGCCCCTCACTTGGAGCGGGGTGAAGTGCACCATGTTATAGCCGCGATCACTGATGCCCCTGAGGTGGCGCTCCCAGTCCTGCGGGTATTTGCCCATGAACTTGCTGATGACAGAGAATACCGACAGCGCAGGGAGCGGCAGCGGTCGGCCATCCAGCGTCAGGCGCGGGGCCACGTCTATGTAATACCATTGGGTCCTCTTCGTCTTGGGTTCGGAATCGCCGCCGGACGGGGCCAATTGGCTCGCTAGGTCGGGCAGCTCGGCATAGGTAGTGTAGAACGCGTAGGCTCCAGCGTCGTAGATTGGGACCGAGATCTCGATTGTGCGATTGAAGTCGGGGACGAGCCTGTGGCAGAGAGTATTAGCATTCCCTGCTCACCGTCCCAGTTGGGAACTGTTGCAAGAGAGCAACAGCAACCTACTTGAATTCCCGAAACTTGTCGCGGCGGAACTCGGCGCCCCGCTCGGGAATGTTGACCCACAGGCTGCCATGACGGCAGATGCTTGAGGTACCCTCAATGGCGAAGCGTATGGTGATGGGATCGTTGGTCTTGGGTGCTAGGTAGATGTACTCCCCGGCAACTTGGGGCGAGCCATCGTCGTTCAGCGGAAGCAGGTAGACCTCGTTGGAAACCATGGTTTTGGGCACCATGTTGTTCGGAGGAAAAGGGAGCTCAAGAACTCCACGTGGGCTACTGGACCTTGGGTAGCTGGGTAGCTAAGCGAATGCTTGGAAACAAGTAGATCACCCCGCTGCTGAGTCCGTCCGTCCTAATGGTGCCGATTAGTCTCCAAGGCACCAAATAAGACACAGGCACAGAGCAAGAGATCTAAGGATCCTCGACATCTGGGAAAGGGAATTGATCAGAGTAAGTAATGGGAGGAAGTACGGGCTGACAAGGACAATGGTGGAGTCGCTGTAGTTCAGGGATGACTTCCAAGGTTTTGTGGAATCGAACACAGGCAAGATGGAGAGATGACGAGAAGAGCTAAAGATGCCAGCGACCAAGCAGCAAGACGGTGCAAATTTGAATCAACAACAGGTAGCAAAAGGGTGGAATGTGGCAGGCAGGTGAAACAGGGCAAGGTGCCCGACGCCGCCTGCAAAAGGGTCGGTCCCTTCAGTTCGCCCGGGAATGGCATACCAAACTCGCTGGGGTTTGCGATTGTTGCACGATCAATTTGGGAGTTCGGGTCGGTTGCTGGGCGTGAATCCTGGCGGCGCGATGTCATCAGCGGGGCAGTGCGGCGCCCGACCAGGCGTGTTGGTTTCACGCATGCAAAACGTGGTTCGGCAACAAATTCGAGGCTATCCAGCAGCTTGAAGCGGTCTGCCGTGTTTTATTGCATGTTGGAATTGAATTGCGATGAAGTGTCGAGCTTGAAGACCAGCGACCTCCCGTCTGCACCGATCAATTTGTTGTCGCATGCGGGTCACAGACACCCAAAGAGCTCCAACTCCCAGTTTGGGCTCAGCGGCATCGTTTCTGCCCGGTTCGTACAACTTTCTCGAGCCTTCTGCACCGAACAAATTGTTCCTAAATGTATTAGGCCCAAGGCTTGATCAGTTGTCGGCCGTCCTTTGGTTTCTCGGCTTGATTGCTTCCGATCCGGCCATCGGTTCACCTCCAAGGTTCATGACGTCAGCGCCCAGGCCAAGAAAAAGTTGTGTCTTGGTAGATCTGTGCGTCCGCCCAGTCTAGAACCACCTGCGCGTTCCTGGCCCGTGCTTTCCATTTGATGGAAATCTGCATGTCAAATTCAGTTATCAAGGACTGATGCGCCTGACAATGGCGACGACGCTCGATTGGCGAACTTTCTCTTCGGTATGCCCTGTATCAGGCACAACTTGGGGTGTAAAAGTGTGCGCTGCGTCATGCCTGGCCCGCTCTTTACAGAGCCTGCAGAGACTCATGAACGCTGGGGGAGTTGATGGTTAGCTGGAAGGTCGAACGGCTCTATTATTCGGGGCTGAGAAGAGCTGCTGCTAAGGGACGTTGCCGCAGTAATCCGTACTTGACTACACGTACATCCGGAATCTTCGAACCTGACCGCGCCTCCCGATACGAGGCACAGAGGGAGAGGAGGCTCGGAATGCTAAGTGCATGATAGAGCTGGTTGAAAGCTCCCTTCGTGTCTGAAATCACCAAGGCGGGCGGAGATAATGGACGCACAAGTCCAAAGCGAAGCGGCCGCATCGCATTGCGCCCTCGCCGCGAGCGCGCCGACAAACCCAGGTCCCCGAGTACCCGTCCCTAAATACAAGGCGATGTCAAACAACGTTCAGGTCCCAGCGGGCCAGCGGGAGTACCGGTCCAACGTCATCGTGGTCGAGATGGCCATGGAGCCAAACATGGGGTACGTGCCCCTCCCAACTGGTGACGGACTGGTAGGACCGGTGAACCAAGAGACGAAGGAAAAAGTCAGGGCATGGTGCAAAATCTCGTCGCAGCGGTCCGGAAAATCCATACCGGAAAAAGGCGCTATTTTGAATGAGCTAGTTGGTTTTTTTGATGTAAACACAGTCAGTCTAAGCCACCATGGCGAAGGAAGTTCCACAATCACATGGCAGGCTTGCCCGAAGCCTTCTCAACATTTTATAAGGCGGTGTTTGATTCTGCCGCCCTTGCGTCATGGCTCGCTGAACGGGCCAACAGCGTTGCAGAGAAATCACAAGCACTGGTCAGTGGCGGCCGTCCGAACCACGCAGCAGGACACGAGCATTGGACAGAACGTCCATTTTAGATCACAAAACACGTGTAGTCCCTCCTTTTTAAAGGTGCTCGAGAATGCGACGGCTGTCTATGCGGTCTCCTTTCCTGGCCACATATAAAGCTAGTCGTGGAATTATCCATAGTTTGCGGTCATCTCCGGTTCATCCATCCCTTTCAAGTCAGCATTGCCCGTCACCGCCTGCCCTGTTCTCGACCAAAGTGGCTCTTTTCCACAATCATATCCACTTAGGAAGCTGCACGCTTCGATTCCCAAAGCCTAGACCCTGTCACCCGAGCTGGGCCCTTCCATCCCAATATTCTCGACATTGCCTCTCAACTTCGACTCGTCCGAACCGAAGACACTGCTCGAAGCCCTGTCCCACTCGCACAAACCCTCGCAATACCCGCGTACTTTCCCATACAGCAAGAATGGCGGTATCCTCAGACCCTCCCCGGTTCAAGCACAAGGTGACCGTCGTGGGGTCCGGCAATTGGGGCACAACGGTCGCGAAGCTCGTCGCCGAGAACACCCGGGAGAACTCGGATATCTTTGAGGAGGATGTGCAGATGTGGGTGTACGAGGAGAATGTGGTTATCCCTCTCGATTCGCCTAAGTACGACCCTGCCGTCGGCGACGAGCCGCAGAAGCTCACCTCGATCATCAACACATACCACGAGAACGTCAAGTATCTCCCCAATATCCCTCTACCGCCTAACGTCATCGCCAACCCCTCGCTTCTGGATGCCGTCAAAGGCTCGTCCATTCTCATCTTCAACCTCCCGCACGAGTTCATCGGCAACGTCTGCCGGCAGATCAAAGGTCACATCTTGCCTTCGGCCAGGGGCATAAGCTGCATCAAGGGCGTGACCGTGACCGAGGACAAGGTGGAGCTGATCTGCGAGTACATCAGCGAGACGCTGGGGATCTACTGCGGCGCGCTGAGCGGCGCCAACATCGCCAACGAAATCGCCAACGAGCTGTGGTGCGAGACGACCATCGCGTACAACACGCCGCCGTGCGACCGGCGCGGCGAGAATGGAGCCGCCAATGGCGATGCCGGCGGGGAGGTGCACCGCGATGCGCGCGGGCAGCCCAGCAAAGTAAAGCTCATGCCCGTTCCGCACGACTACCCCCCGGTGGACCACACCGTGCTGCACAAACTGTTCAATCGACCCTATTTCACTGTGTCAATGGTGTCGGACGTGGTCGGCGTGTCGCTAGCCGGCGCGCTCAAGAACATTGTTGCGCTCGCTTGCGGCTTTATCGAGGGCCACGGGTGGAACATGACGGCCAAGACCGCCGTGATGCGGCGGGGCATGCTGGAGACGATCCAGTTTTGCCAGGAATTCTTCCCCGAGACGATCCAGGAGATGACCTTCTGGGAGAGTGCCGGCTGGAGCGACATGATTGTGAGCTGCACGTCGGCGCGCAACTGGCGCTACTCCAAAATGGCGGCAGAGCGCGGGGTGTCGCTTCACGAGATTGAGCGGACCGAACTCAACGGCCAGAAGCTGCAGGGCATCTCGACGACGAAGGAGGTCATGAGCTTCTTGAAGGCGCGTGGTGTGCAGGACAAATATCCGCTGTTCACGGCGGTGGAGGGAATTGTCGACGGAACCTTCAAAATGGAGAATATTCCTGTGCTCTTCAGGCAGCAATAGAAGCGTGACGTACGGCCGGCATACGCTGGTTTATACAAGGTGGCATGGTCCCAAACGGGACCAGCTGGTTATGTACAGTCGATTCTGATTAGATGTGTCAACTAAACTGCGTGCCCCTGTTGTTTTGACAGGAACTACATCGAAATGCAGCTCTTTCACTTGGAGAACATCGCCAACCATATCCAACCAATTCCCCATAGTATCAGGATCCCTCCATCAGTCACGATTGGCCCTGTCACCGCCAAGATCATTGATACCCATCCAACAAAGCCCTCTCCTCCTCATCCGCCACCTCCTCTTTCCCTCTCAGCCGATCCGCAAAGCTCGACTTCCTCCTGCTCCTACCCTCCGCAGCCCCCGAGCCCTCGCTATCCAGAGTCCTCTCCCCATCCAGAAAGATCTTCTTGCCCACTGCATCATAACTGCGCCAAACGAGGTTGAACATCAGCGTGATGCACGCCACGAGCCAGGGCGGCGACCTTCCCCGCTTGTCGGCAAACAGCCGCCCGCACGTCATTACGGTAATGAGCAGCGGCATCCAGAGGCCCAGGAAGAGGACCATGCCCCACTTCTGGCGGCGCGTCGTGACGGTGTAGGGCTGCAGGGCGTCAAGGTAAGCCTGGTAGTCGGTTGGGAGCTCGTGCTCGCGCGCGCCGTCGCGGAGAAGCTTGAGGTAGCGGGCTGACGGCTGAGCGTAGTCGGGTTCCGGGCGGCGGACAGGGCTGAGGAGGCGGGTGAGCCAGGATGGGAGGGATCGGTGTGGGGTTTCTGGTTCGGACGGGTCGTCGGTGTTGTTGTCGTCGTTGTCTTCAGGATTGGGACCGGTGGCGGTGTCGGGCAGGCGAGGGGCGTACAGGGTGTGTGCCAGGAACGGGGTGGGAGGGATCGGAATAGTCGGCTTCTCGGGCACGCGCACGCTGGGCGGGAGGACGATGCAGGGGACGAGGATGTCGTGGTAGCTTGCGCCGCCGCCCTCGGTTGCGACGATCTTCGCGTAGTCTTCGAGCGTAACCTCGTAGACAACACCGTACAGGCCCTTGTTCCAGACTGGTGAGCGCTTTGCGAGCTCGTATTCTCTGTGCCCCTCGTTGTCGCCGTGGGCAACCCCAGGCTGGATCGGGGGACTGGGAATCTCGGGGGGAACCTTCGAGAAATTAAAGGGCGATTTCTTGCCCGGGAACTTGCGTAACGCTGTGTTGGCGAAGCACGGCTCGCGATAAGGGATGCCCGGCAGGTCAAACGTCAAGTCGAGAGACGGCGCCGAAACGTTGACCTGGCTCAGCGGACGGATGCCGCGCATGCCCAGGAAAGTTTCGGCGCACATGTTGGACCCATAGGCGAGGTAGAGGACCGTCTTGGGCTTGACGGGCGCATCTTGATGAAAGGTCTTCGCGAGGACCGGCTCGCTTGGGAACGGTGTTGGCGAGACGTCGGGTTCAGAAAGTCGAGCGGCAGAGGTATGAGGAATTGAAGAGACCGGAGGATACGGGACCCGGGTTGGCTTTGGCCGGGCAGCCCAAGACCAGAGAACCTGAATATGGCGGAGACTCCAGACTGCGGTGTCGTCCTTCGACTTTGAAACCGATGTCTCCGGTGTTGAGATAAGTGGAGGTTGGGGTTTAGTCGAGTCCATTTTGACGTCAGTGCTGCAGGTCCCTGACTTGAAGATCGGACGGGGGATGTGTGTCGCAATCCGAGACCGAGATGGCGAAATCGCAAGAAGAGTGCATTATATAGCGAAGCTCTGGTCGCTCAGCTGACAAACCGATGTAATCCGTACTGTTCCATGTTACAACAAGCTGGCTCCAACACGTCAGCCGCCGGCAACGACGGATCTGGTGGGGTCGTTAGTGTGCTGTACAGAAATACAGGGCCCCTCCACAAGAACCCAAAGGAACTTTCGGAATCTGCAACATATTCCCCCGTCTTACACAACTCCATGCAGCTCATCCGTTGAAAAGTCAATGGTGACTCAATCAGGTTTTATTAGTGTCGGCTCGACTCACCGAGCAATTGCGAGTCTCGGACTCGAGATAGCACCAAGACGCTTCGCATATCGTCCCAGAGCGACTGCGAATAGTAATAATGTGCAGAACTTCGGGCCAGAATGGCTCATTACATGCTGATGAACATCCCGGACCGTTGAGCTGCCGTTTCTGTCTGGTCTTGGGTGACCGTTCGTTTCGTCAGGAACCTCTGTAAAATCCATGGATGATGTTCGAAAGGCTCACGGCAACCTGGGGACAGGGTCCAACAATTCCAGGTCAAAAGCATGAGTTTGATCTGCCTACCTGGTACAGGTATAAATGACTGCCGTAGTCTTGGATTCAGGTTCAGACGTAAATACCAGTACCGAGAAGCTCCAGCGCTGCAAAGGACAGGGAAGGAGCAGACGACCTGCGCTTTCCTTTCGGCTTGACGAACCAATTCAAGCGGGCAGCACGGCAACCACGTCTCTGTGGTCAGGCAGCTGACCCATCCAAGTGATGGCAAGGACCTGGAGACTCTTCTGCAAGATCTCTTCTTGTGGTCCGCGCTAACTTCTTGATCGATCCAAACAGGCGACGTCCTCTGTCCGCTGAATTCTTCACGCCTGTGCTGGCCCTGGGCATGGCGCGGGTTGTGGAATTGACGGTTGTCATCCATGAGACCGATTGTTCCTCCCTGATTCAAGATGGACTACACGCGCCAGTCATCTCAACCGGCTACCGTCGACCTAGTTCGAGCCGATCTGGCCGAATTCTGGGCCATTGATGAGTCCGACGCTGACTGTCCCAAGAAGCCGCCTTCAATTTCCGGTATCAGCGACATGCTCGACTTCGAGTACATTCCCACCCCTAGAGCCCGCCCTTCGAGAGCGATGCGGAAGGATCCCCTGCCCGTTATTCTCGGTAATTATCTGGAGACTTCACCCACCCGGAAAGAGGGACGAAACGAGACCCGTGAGAAGCCGTCCAGCAACAAGCCATTGACAAAACAAAACATACAGTCACGCAACCAGGACTCGACTGCTTCAGACAGACGGTCCACCCCAATCGGGCCTGACTGTCCTTCTCAAGTGACACGGAAGCTGGGACATTCCTCTGGCATGGAAACGCCTGTACACCGAAAAAACAAGCGCAAGCTTACCAGCCGGCCCAATGCCACTGATGAATCACAGCCACGTAGACAGCCTCAGTCAGACCGGAAACCTGTTGCTTCTTCAGCCGCTGGGAAGGGATCAACGAAGACCTCCAAGCAAACAAAGACCCTCCCTGAGACGCCCGATCCCGCTTCGACCCGAGCCAAACCCAAGACGCGCAAGCGTGACGACCATCTCTTTGAGTTGAGTGATGGGACGGAATCGGAAGCAGAGGCCAGGCCAAAAAAACGTCAAGCATCAGCATCCAGAAAGCCTCCTATCGCTCCTGCCCGCACATCCCAGACGACAGGAAGGGCCCAGGGGGGCAAGCCCGCTCGTGTTCCAAAGAAGCCGACTACCCACGTTGTTTCTCAAATAGACAAAGCCGAGCACGATCCCCCGGACTCAAACACAGCTCCGCATGGCAATGATGGAACAGAGCAGGAAGCTGAGCCGCAGCCGTACGACCACAGAAGCACTTCCCCTGACTCCGCCAAATCAGAGTCGGTTAGGAAAGCCCAGATGGACCAACAAGCACCGATGCCCCAAGGGGCAGACACTCCGGAGTTCACTTCCCCAGAGCCCGCGAAAGTTCCGCCAGTCGCGCCAAGGGAATGCATTCCAGTTGTGCCAGACTCTTCGCCACACCGGGACGTCATTATCCTGTCCAGTGAGAGTCCAGAGGCAAGTAACGCGGCAGCTGGGTCAACTTCACGATTGTTTGTCGAGCAAGACCAAGGGAAACCGACTAGAAGCCTCGCTCCAGCTGTCGCAATAACAGACAACACCTGCGAGTTGAACCCCAACGAGACATCGCCAACCCGGCTTCCCAGATATTACAGACGCCATGGCTTTACCCCTCCACCTTCGTTCCAGCCTCGAGTCCTTGGTAACAATGCTGCGTTTCCTCAAAGGTTGAATACCGATCGGCCCTTGCCGGCGGACACAAGAGGGGGTTTCTATTCAGATGAGCAACAAGCAACGACAACATCGTCCTCAGTCCGTGAGCAAGAGCCATGCCCGGCCCATGGGGGGTCGAGCCCTGAAGATATGTGGAGTCAGGTAGTGCAGGATGACTCTCCACCGGCTATCCTCCATAGGATTGTTTCTGTAAGCGCGTCCCCTTCCAATCTGTGGTTGTAATAAGCATCTAACTGGCTCAAGCTGTTGCACCGTTCGCTCAAGCCCAGAGAAGAGGTGGTTCGGGACATTGTCGCCGATTACCAAGATAATGCCTTCCGCTTGCTTGACAACTTGAGTGGACGCCATGACCAGGAGAGAACAGAAACATTGGTGGCGCTGAGACAGGCATCTCGAGCGGCCTTCTCTGTCTTCTCCGGCGCAGGACATGACATGGCCGTCTTCATCAACAAGCTTCGAGATATGGACGTCACCCACACAGCACACACACTGACACGTCGAGATCTCGCCCGAAAGCTTCACACAGTGGCTCAGCTGTCTCAGACCAAGTTGGGTAGCTACGTCCGCGACGAGCCATTCGGCGGTGACGCGGCGAGTAAATTCGATGGCGGCGGCCTAGACGTTCTTGCGGAGACGTACCGACTCAAGCTGCTTGATGCAGTCCAACGACCAGATGGACATGTTTCTGCGGCAGTAGATGGGGTGGATATGCGGGTTGATGATTCCATCAAGCGGTATCTTCGGGGCGAAACCCGAAAGGTTCACCGTCCCGAGGTCAGCCAGCTGAAGAAACCGGCCCGGAATGCTGACGAAGCTTTGGAGGTCTTCTTGGACGGCATTCTTGGTACGTTGCAGGAGAACAAGGATCGCGTGAGCCCGTCCTCTGCCTAGAGGCGGTGTTTGTCTTGCTCCTGGAGTTGCAGACATGAGTAGAGAGATATGTGGTTTCATGGACAAGGGAGGCGTATTGGGTCTCCCCCCAGCTTTGTTGGAGAGGGAGTGGCACGGCCTCAGAGGATGCAGGGTAAGATTTGCAGGTATCACCACTTGCTACCACAGACAGGTACGATCCTGACGCTTCAGTTTGCTGAGAACATTCCGTTATTTAAGAAGCTCACCTTCCTCAGAGTAACTACGGCACAAGAGATGGGAAAGAATCGATGTGTCAGGTGTGACGGTCACAGATGATATAGTTGCGGGAGGGAATCATGATGCTATAGTTCGATGAGTCCGTCTCAACCAGAGTGTCCACTGATGCTGGTAAATAAAAAACAGAGTACTGACCGACGCCTCTTATGCCGCACTGGTAATGGTTCCTGGAAGCCGAGACTCCTGCATGCGAAAAAGAGCCCTTGCGCCGTACCATGCTTCAAGTCTCACCACCCTCCGGGGCACTAAAAGAGCGACCCCACCCAAAATCCAGGGCAAATGCCAATTAGGCAGCCACTTCTCCTCTATATCCTCGTCACACTGTCCGTGGCTCGGTGAAGGCGAGAGACGCGCAGACCCTTTGCTATTCTTGTCCTTTTCCCCAATGCCTCCCCTTTCTCTCAGTTCCTGTCGTCCTTGGCTTTAATTTAGCAGAGAATCGAGTGAGGACGCTGGCACCAGATACATTGTGAGATTCAGCACAGGACAAAGTTTTATATCCTCAAGTTGAGGATTATTGCAGTTTGCATGTGCGGCCATCACGGTGGATATACGCAAGGAGCCACAGCCTATGCACACTCATATTAACATGATACAGCTTATTACGTCCAGGTGTGTAAACCCTGGTGTTACTTGCAGACATGACCCAAGATGGGCTCTTTGCAAAGGGCTCGAGGCACCCGCATCATCACACGGACATGATCTGTGACTGAGACTAACACTTCCCTGGTTGCCAACCGCCAGCGTCTTGTATTGTAACATGATTGCACCCTTATAAACCAAAGGAGACCTTGGGATGCTTGACCCTATGCGGCTTACATTTGAATAACTACTCAGTTAGTTTAGGGCACTGATAAGGCTTGCCGGCAAGTTAGTTGAATCATGATCACTGGCAAAGCAGAATCAAGCATAACTTACATTAGTCTTGACACTGATTTGATTTTCTGATGGCAACTCTTATGAATGTTGACAACATCGGACAATACATGGATGTAGGAATAAGAGGACGAGAGGGGGGAAAAAAGCAAACCACTCGAAAGTGACTCCAAACTCGACATACTTTTGAAATCAGACGGATGGGGTCGGTTTGATTCAATTGCGGGAATCGACGCAGCATAACATACTAGTAGTACGTCCGTACTTTGCTAATGTACTTGAAGCTGGCAGCAAACTGTGGAGACTCATGATCGAAGGATCCGGGCTCAGCAAGCTTTCCACTTGCCATTACAGAGTCAATGGTGGTCGTTCTCATTGAATGATGTACATAATCGCAACCCCTTCCCGGTGAAGGAACATCGGGGGCCGCCCGCGCAGGCGGCCGGGCATCGCAGAAATTGGAAGACAGGTCCTTTGTGACCTGGTCTTTCATTTCCAAGGGGTTGCAGCTCCGCGCAGCTACTGCGCGGCCTGTTGGCGGCCGAAAACGTCGATTTCGAGGATCAGAACTGAGGTTTCTGAGCGCCCGGAAATCCCTCACCACCCCGCCCGACAACCGCGACTTACCGACACCAACGACAAGAACAAGTTGCAACAAACTTTGCAAGATCAGGTGGATACTGGGTACGAAAACCACCCGACTCTTTCGACGTTCTGAAGAAGGGACAGGGCACCCCCGGCCCTGCCCAGTTCTGGGAGAGCGAAGTCAAGAGTCTTGGCGGCAAACCCGACCGGTGAGACGACGCTACGAGGACTGGAGCGAAAGCTGCTGTACGACTCCGATTGCAAGAGTTGTTAATCGACCGAGGATAAGGAAGGTGACGGGTTCGTTAAGGGAGACACACGGGCGGCTGGCCTTCCTGCGAGGCGCTTCGCCCTCTTGACAAACAGCACACTACAAAAGGAGGAACTACAATAGTGGAACTACAATAGTGGATCAGGGCAGGTTAGTGGCAGTGCCATGGAGGGAGCTGCGCCGGTGTAGCAGCTTTTTTCGGCGGCCTGCTGCAAGACACGGTCGGCACTGCGGCTTCGGCCTCGTGGGGAGACCCTCGCAGTGTAACGGGAAGCTGGAAGTCGGGGTTGCGCCTGGCGGAAAGTGGGCCGTGGCAGCTATGCTGGACCGAGGGGAGGGCAGTAGAGTTGCGGTCCCCGCTCGCACCCGGGCCACAGGAGCGAAACAGTTGTTGCCTCGGCGGGGGACCTGTTGGACTGTACGCGTGGCTAGGCCACGTCCCCTTGTTTCCGGGCGCAGGTTACAGTATGGGATGAAGCCGCGGATGGATTGCACCGGGTATGGGTGCCTCGGCTGGGGAACAAATGTGTGGTGTCGCCGCCGCAAGGAAGCTGTAGCTCCGAGGAGCAGTGTAGCTGGCCGGAGAGGACGGACGCGCGTGTCGGTTCTCTAAGAGAGAGGGGGCTTTGCAGATGCCAAGCACCCGGCTCGCACCCGGGCTCCAGCCCTGCGCAGGCTGCTGTGGTGTCGCCTACGAAGCTCTGTAAGGTTGTGCCTCTTGCGGAGGGCTTAAGGTGCAAACCTTAGGGTCCCGTGGCCGGGAGGTCCGGTAGGGAGGTCTGGCCTTGCCTCTCTGACTAGGTTGCCCTACAAGGCAGGTCTGTGCAGCTAGTTAGCTAGTTCGTAGGGAGAACAATCTAGGGACTCTAAGGAACGAGGCCCGCAGATGACCTTAACCACCAGCATGAGACTCTGTTTCAAGACAAAACCCTAAGGAGACACGACGGCCTCAGCAGAGCGAAGAGTTCACTGTTGATCCAGATTCGAACCGGGCCATAGGGCTTCGGGCATTCTTATTCGAAAGGAGAGTCCTAGAGGTTCTGACGCCTATATGCGAGTGTGGAGAGGGGCGAGAGACTGTCGAGCACCTTGTGATGTGGTGCTTGGCCCCACCGTTGACTCGAAGATGGGAGAGAGCCGAGGTCAGAACGCGAAGGGACTTTTATTCTGTCCTACAGGGAATCAGTCCCAAAGCTGCACGGCTAACGGGGAGGATCCTGGACTGGCTGATGGACTCGGGGAAACTGCCGATGTACGGTCTGGCCAGGAGGCTGGAGCTGGAGCTCGCAGTCTGATACCCTTTCCTTCGAAGGCCAAGAGGCCTTCCCACTTTGTATTTGCAGGATCGCACACTGATCGTTTCCTTGATTGTCGATATGGGTTTTTCACCCGGCCCACGAGGGCGCGGGTTTCCTTTATAGTAAGTTGTTGAAGGTCCGGCACGCCCTAGGGCACAACGGTGTAGGAATAATAATAATAATCGCAACTGATTCATTTTCTTTGAATGTTTAGAAGACTAACTATTACGGGGTGATGATGTTGAACAGCTGTCTACCTCATCTATCAAACGTACAGGGGGAGTGCAATCTACCTTGATCAGGAAAACATTCCACTGCAGGCGCCTGTATATATTGGTGAGTATCAGGGGTTACCAAGGCATTTCGGCGTAGATCATCTGTGAGTATGAGGGTTCGGCTCACGTCGGTATCCGGTGGATGGAATACGGTGATGACTTAGTAAGTAAAGGGGAAGGAAATGGGGGGAAATAAGGAGCGAGAAAAGAACGAGAAGGAAGACCACGACATGAAGGGGAATACGCTTGTAATCTTTAAGGGAAAAGGAGCTGGATGCGTCGCACCTCAGGTGCATCCGTATAGCTCAGCCTTTGCGCCTACAAAGTCTCCGTCTGCCGTTGCTCCAACTTAGCTTGGCCAGCTAGGCCGAGAAGCAGGCGGAGTACCTACATTGGACCCGGCGATGTTTGCCCTTTCTAAGGCCAAGCAAGCCATGAGAATGTGGCTTTTTGGCAGCATTTGGCCTCTCACGTCCACGGCTTGTCGAGTCTGCCGCTGCCATTGTTGTCTTACAGCGCTACAAAGCACAGCAGGATGAAGCCAATCAGTTAACTTAGGAATTCTGCACCAAGAGACATACGGACGTGCTAGATTTTTTGCGGTGGCCAAGGCTTCTGATTGCCTTCGTCTGAATGAGGAAGCAGCTTGGCTTCAAACCCAGGCAGTCAAGGCCCAAAATGTTGAGTTGTGACGTCTCAAGGCGCCAGGGCACAGCCCACTGCCGAGCGGAAAGAAGCGTCTTGGCAGACTTACACGTGCTGACAACGCCCGGGGGTGAAGATGACGTGTGCTCGATACAGCATTGTGACTCTAGCAGACTGTCATGCTCTCGAGTCTCTGGATTCACAATAAATGGAGAGTGCAGAGAGTCAATGAGAAGAAGCCTTCTCTTCTATAGCTCGTTTTCCCGAGCGTCTCTCCATTTCTTTCGCCAGGAATTCAGGTTTAGATTTGACTGAGATTCGGGCCCTCACAAGTGACAACGATAACTTATGGGGGGTGGGTCCAGCAGCCTCATGTGGGCCCGTGCCAGCCTGAAGACTGTCGTCGCCTTCGCCTGTCGCCCTCCATCATGTTCTCCCCAAGTCGTCCGAATTGATCGTCGGCGACAGCGACCTCAGCAGCGGCGCACTGCGCAGTTGTCTCCAAGGTTTTCAATACGGCCCTGGACCATCGACTTGACGGGTTGTGCAAATCCCTGTCTTTTAGCCCCATCGACCTTTCGAGCCTCGCCAGGGTCAGCAGATCGAATTCCGATTCTCAAAATCTCCATTCCGGTTCGTCCGCCGTGTCTTCCGCGACTGCTGTTGCCTGCCCTCTCCGTTGCAACACCACCACCATCCGTCGGCACGGCGAGCAATCCATCTCGATCCTTTCCCCCACTGAACCTTCTTCCGCTCGATCCGACCCACCTGTTCGACCGCCGCCGCCTACAAGATGCGTTTTCGGCAGAGTATGGCCAGGCACTTCGGGGACAGTGTAAGGACCCGGATTCTCTCCGCCCTGCTCTGACGGGGAGTCCTGGTATAGGACTCGAAATTTCTTCTGCAAGTGCGAAGGATGTTGGCCTGCTGCGGCCTTTCTCCGGGCGAGTCGGTTCGGAACTTTTGAGGGTCGGGCGGGTGTGCTGATGAAAAAAGATGTGGGGTGTAATCAGTGGGATGTGAAAGGCCGATGCCCTTGTTTCCTCCTACCCTGGCTTGCAAATTTGCTGTTGAACGTGGAATTGTTTGCATGCTGTTGATTTCGTTGCCTGGGCTGTGGACTAATATATGCACAGCTCTCCATGTCTCCCCCGAAACCATACCTTTCTTGTGAGTCTTACTCGATTACTGCGTGCTCAATTGCAAGCTAATAACAGCTGCTCCCCATAGACTACGATATCCGCCGTACGTGAAGAACCGCACCCGTCGGGCCACTTTTAGCCGCCGTAGCTGACGTTCCTTTCAAGTCGACACCGAAGATATCAAGGCACTTAAGAATGACTGGCTCACCGACAGTGCCATCGCGTTTTGGGAAGAGTATGTCTCGATGATGACGCCCAGTTTCATTGGCTCTACAGCATTGTCTAACACGCGCAGATGGCTTGAGCGGGAGATCCTGCCCAAGTACCCGCAAGCCCGGATAGTACTTCTTCGGCCCGTCGTCTCGCATCTCCTGATGCAGACGACCGATCTCAAAAACGACGCCTCTGCCTTACCCGACTTCCGCAAGGTCACGCACATTTTCCTACCCGTCAGCGACAGCCGAGATCGCTGGAACGCCGACAGCGGCTCACACTGGTCTCTCCTCCTCGTGTCGGTTATTGACCGGGTCGCGTTCCACTACGACTCGCTCGGCGGCTCCAACTTTCCGGCGGCCAGGAGGGGCGTAGAGCGGCTGAGCTGGGTGTTGGGCGTCCCGCTCAAGTTCCATCAGCTGGAGGACACCCCCCAGCAGGAGAACAGCAAGGACTGCGGCGTGTTTGTCTGCATCCTCATGAGGCACCTGCTTATTAAGCGGCTCCTCAATGCCAATTCCAACGAGAAGGTGTCTATGTCGATGGCGGGCAAGATGGTCGACAGTCGTGGGGGCAGGAAGGAAATGCTCCGGATCGTCGAGTCGTTGCGCAAGGAGGGCGAAAGGCGGCGCAGCGCTAGTCCCTTTGCTGGCTCGTCAAACGAGCCGCCGCGCATTGACTAGTACGTTTACTGTGACGAGTGATTTACGAACCGACCGGCGTTTGTGGTTGTGCTTGGGGTCACGGGACCTGGGGTTTTGACGGGCACCAAGAAGGGCGGTGAGTAGAGCCCAACTGCATGGCGTTTATGTTTTGAAGGGAGTTGAGGCGTTTGGCAAAGATCGAGTACCCCTGGGATTGAAGGGTTGTTTCTGCTAGTATGATTCATGGCTGGATGGTTTCGGGCATAGCAATTATACACGGTGAATGCGGGCATGGGAGAGGCGGTAAGGTGTAGCGCAGAGTTTGCGGTGGTTTCCACCATGGACCAGTTCAACAATTCGACTTCGGACATAACCCCCTGAAAGTATCACCATGGCTCTCATACGTCGTCATATCAACCCGGCTGAACTCTGGCGGCGGCGTATCGGCAACAGATTGGAATACTCATGTCTTGGCTAAGAAGGCAGGGTTCTGTTCCATTGTTGCCGAGATGAAACTCCTCAACGCTGCCCACCGACTCGATGTAGCCGGTGTCTGTGTCTGGGTTTCTCCCCCCTGCTTCCCTTTCTCTCCCTCCGTATCCATCTTTTCACTCTGTCCATCGCCCGCAGCAGGTGCTGGTGCACTGCTGGCAGTCGAAATATTGGCGAGCTGTGCCAGACTCCGCCCAAACCGCTCCATCTCCCCCTTCACTAGCCTCTCCTTCCGCTTCAACGCACCGGGCCGGCTCTTCAGGCTCTTGTGCCGCACCTTGCCCTCCCGCGCCTGCTCAGCGTCCATGGCCTCGCCCTCGGCCACTGCGTCGTCCATCTCGGCCTGGATATCGTCGAGCGCGTCGCCCAGCGACTCGAGTGTCGTGACGAGCTTCTTGGAGGGGCGCCGCCGCTTTTTGGACGCCGTGGACGACGACGAGGAGGACTTGGCGATGCGCGAGACAAAGGCCGAGTGCTTGATCAGCCGCTTGTCGCGCTTCGAGTTGATGAAGGAGTCAACCACGAAATTGTTCTCGCGGTGGAGCTTGCGCGGAAGGAGGGGGTCGGCGAGGCGGGCGCGGGCCTTTTGGCGCGCTGTGAGGCGCTTTGAGGGGGCGGGTGCTGTTGGCGCCTGTGGGAGGAGGGGTGCGTTAGTTGGCGCGATTGGGAGGGGAAAAAGAAGGGGAATCTACCATTGCCAGCTGTATACGATCGGTCAATATCTATATATGGCGAACCGGGGAAAATGCGGATGTTGGGTTGTCATGGACGATAACTCAGACTTGCAGCGACTCAGGTGAAGTGTTGCTCGATGTTCCATGATGGCAGCCGACTCGACGAGAACAGGTCGGACTTTTTAGTGGGGCACTAACCTCCGAAGACCCACATGGTCCGCGTTGAACAGCGCCAAGTTCGGCGGATCTTTGTTTATTCTTTGGCGGGGGAGGGGCACTTCATCTCAGTCTTACTCCATACAACGGCTCATGTCATCGCCGACAGGGCTCCTGTTGAAAGCCAGCGAGTCAAGTTGCACCGACTAACCATACCTGCCTTATCTTACCTACACTTGATCCTTCACAGTTGGAAATCACGCTCATTATCTTAGGGCAACGAGGTACAAGAACAACCTAAGACATTAGAAACGGGCCCTGAAATGGTAGGGGTTTACCGGTATCTGCCTCAGCACTCTTGACGGAGACGTTGAACTGGGGCTGGCTCAACTTGATGTACCTTACTGGTTGATTGTGCGGTTGACGTTGAATATGGAGGAAGACACGAGGGATCACCCATTTGCCTACGGCACAGCTGCCTCTACCCTGGCTGCCCGAAATGGGAGCAGTCGTCGCCTCACAGACGATGAATTCGATAGATATTCCCGCCAGATGATTGTTCCGGGCATGGGAAAAGAAGGTAAGCTGGGTGTATGATTAAAAGAGAGGCTAAAGAGATGGCTAACAATGACAGGCCAACTTCGTCTGATCAACTCCCGTGTGCTTATCATTGGGGCCGGCGGCCTCGGTTGCCCGGCAGCTCAGTACATCGCCGGCGCTGGAATCGGCACCATCGGCATCGTCGACGGCGATGTCGTTGAGACGTCCAACCTCCATCGTCAGATCGGCCATGCCACCTCTCGGATCGGCATGACGAAGGTCGACAGCCTCATCACACACCTCAGGGGCTTGAATCCTCTACCCACTTACATCTCCTATCCGACACACCTCACCCCGCAAAACGCTGCCGATATCATATCCCAGTATGATCTTGTCATGGACTGCACCGACAACCCAGCCACTCGGTACCTCATCTCCGATATGTGCGTCCTGCTCTGTAAGCCACTCGTCTCGGCCGCCTCGGTTCAAAAGTCCGGCCAGCTGATCGTGCTGAACTGTCCACCGACGGCTCAGGGGCTAGTCGACGGCAAGTACGCCCCTTGCTACAGGTGTTGCTTCAGAAAGCCACCGCCTCCCAGCTCGATGGTGTCTTGTGGCGAAGCCGGCATCATGGGTCCCGTAGTGGGCATGATGGGCGTGGCCCAAGCCGGCGAGGCCATCAAAATTCTCGCCTCCGCACTCCACATTCCCCGACAGGTCACCGAAGACGTTCCAGAAACAAACCTCCAACAACCTACACTGCTAATCTACACCTACGACCTCGAAAGCGCAGTCGGCCCATACTCATTCCGCGCTCTGAAGATGGGTGGCCGCAGAAAGAGCTGCTTTGCCTGCGGCGCGGGCTCGACACTGACACTCGAAGGCGTCAAAGCTGGAAACCCAAACTATGAGCAGTTCTGCAGCATCCCTACGTCGAAAGCCAACCTGCCCCCAGAAGAGCGCATCACCGCCGCTGCGTACCATGCCGCGAAGGAGAAGGGTGAGCTCCCGGAGCACATCCTGCTCGACACGCGGGAGAAGGAGCATTTTTCGCTCGGGTCTATCGAGGGGGCCGTGAATGTGCCTTTTGGAAAGTTGCTTATGAAGGCTGCGTCGATCAAGAGAGGTGGAGGATCGAGCACTGATCTACTACCTATAGAATCGAGCAAGCCTGACACACCGATTTTCGTCGTCTGCCGTACGGGGTTGGATTCCCAGGAGACGGTAGAGACGTTGAAGGAGCTAGGTCTGGATAATGGGGGGAAAAGGAAGATTGTGGATGTTGTTGGAGGGATGAGAGCATGGAAGCAGGATGTCGATCCTAGCTTTCCATTCATATGACACAAGGATGTGTTTAAGGAACTTGAATAGTGTGTGGCCGCCTTCGAGGGGCGAAATTCAAGGGTAGACGGCACGAGTTATCAAGGGGAGACTTTTGCTGGTTGTTTGGAGATGCCCACTATGTTACAACCGAGAGCCCCTGGACGCCCGCAGATCTTGGATAAACAACACGAGGGACAAAAAGGGGGATACAACCGGTGCCAATTGCCCATACAGACTGTGAACCATGCCGCAGCATTCTCCGCTCATCAAGACAAGTACCGACATCATACTTTTGTACCTTTATACCAACGAGCCCTCCTTCTTTTTGTTGAACGCTCTCTGGTCCCTCAACCACTGCCGGTAGCCAGTAACGCTCGAGATCTTCTCGCCATAGAAATCGGGTACTGGTGAGTATCAGTCTAGCCCATACGAGAAACAGAGCAGAAAAGGGGCACCCACCCGGATTCCGCACCGAGCTCGCGCTCGGGTCCACACGGTGCTTCTTAATCCTCGCAAAAAACTCGCTCTCCTTGACGGCCATCGGGCCCTTGTACTTGCTCTTGAGAGCGTTGAAGACCGCCGAACCGAGGCTCGGCCCGACCAGCCAGCCGAGCGCGGCGAAGCTCATAGTCATCAGGCCCAGCGTGATCAACGGGTCCAGCGGGATCTGGCCCACCACGCTGTCCGCCATGCCCGAGCTCAGCACCAACGCTCCGGATGATCCGCTCGCGAGCGCCCCAACCACGCTGAAGGCCGTCTGCCACCGCCGCCGCGCCTTGCGCAACTGGAAGAAGGTGTTCCAGTCGAGGACGACCTGCTCCGGGTGAGCCGAGGCCGCGGCCTTGGCTGCTGCCGCCGCTGCGTTGGCGTCGGCTTCGGCGTCTGGCGTGGCGGCTAAGTGTGTGGTTTGGTGCCGGGTCGAGGTGTTGCGGCGCGGTGGTTCTGCGCGGTACTGGATCACGAGGGAGGCCGGGCTTGGCCGGTTGCTTGAGAGGGAGCGGATCTGTGTTTGCTTCGAGGAAGGGGTCGTCGTCATCGCCACCGAGAGCGGGGAGAGGATCAGGCCGGCGCGCAACAAGGTTGGTTGCAGAGCAGCGGGCGAGCGGCGGGCGCCCGCGCGAAGCATGGTTGTCGCTGTCGGGGTGAGCATCTTGCTGCAATGCATTGATATAGCAGGACAGAGGTGCGGACAACTATGCACACCGATCGGACCCGAAAGGAGCCTTGGGATGAAGGGTTGGTTGTGGGCTGGACAATCCAGGACAGCTTGGAGCAATCGATCCAATTGCTGTTCAAGTTGTTGCTGATGGAGGGAGCTTCAGGTATCCACACCTCAGCCTAAAAGCAGGCCGATAAGATAAGAAGAAGCAACGATGAGCGGCACATGTCACGGGATTCCCCGTTCCTCTTCTCATCGTTACGCTATCTCCCCCTTTGCCAAAAAAGGCACACCAAAAATCAGCTTTTTCCCCACACAACCCACTTTGACACGCCATGCTGCCATCATCTGCACCAGGTGAATGCATCGCCAATTGCACTATTCTACTCCAAAGAAGTCACGCATTCGCGGTACGATTGCATATTTCGAATCTCATCTAAGCAATATGTAAAACGAAGGCCTTGTTGGGATGACGAAATCGTCAAGGAGCTTGTTGAAGAAGGCTGGGCTGCGGTTAAGCAAGACTCTGTCAATGCCTAAATCGACAACATCCCTCAGATCTTCAAAGATTGCTTGGAATTAGATGGGGCTATGACTGAGTTAGTTCGCAATCGGAATCATTTAATTTGGCTGCGTTGTGGTGGTGTTCTACATCTTTAGGTCTGGTGGGTTTGCGTTTTGATGTGCCTCTATTTTGTAAGGACGGTGGCTATATGCCTGTGGTTATGCATACGTCACGAGTTTAATCATACGTCTGTGGTCACGCTTACGTATAGGCCTCTGTTCCAGTACTTAAGGCCTGGTTGCATGCCTATTCCCGTCATCTAGCTCTTGCTCTCGTTGTAGCAATATTGTGACGAATCTCAAGCCTCAACTTCTGAAAGGGACTCCTGAAGGTTATACTTGACAATGGGGTGAGGTTCGGTGAAGCCAAAGGGTTCACAACAAGCAATGTCCAAGGGTACTGACAATCTTGTGTTGAATTGAACTGGCTCCTTGGCACCTGGACTCAGGGGCTGGGCACGGTTGCCCAATACAGTAAGCGTGGAAGACTCGTCACCCACCCAAAAGCAGGGCTGGCGAGGGTCCCGAAGCCCTCGGTTCTTTCAAGCAACACACACACATGACGCATGGTTCAGACAGTCAATTCAAGCTTCATCTTGTGCCTCAATTGATGCAGTGTCACCTGGTTGGTCTATGCCTATTCGAGCCTGTAACTGTTGCTGTCCAACATCTTGCACTTGCGTTTCTTACTGGAGAACTCCAGAGTCCTCCAGAACGAGTGACTATATACTGACACGATTCTTCGAGTGCTCGCTATGCTCGAGGGTCGAGCACCCTCGAGCACTTGAGTGCTCGCAGTGCTATGCCTTCGGACGCTCCGGGCACCTTGCTGCAAGGTGCTCGTCTGTCTTGGCGTTATAGCACTCTAGCTTCATCCTGACGGGTCTGCCTTGCTTCCTTAAGTGATGGATCGGGCGTTCCTTGCGCCCCGTATATGACCTTTTCTGGTATGCGGCCTGTTGTTACGTAGTTAATTCGTGACACCAGGCCAGGGTCCCTCGAATACCTACTCCCCACTGCGAATACGGCCAGGACAGGGAGACAGTAGAATACTTAGCTGTGTGGTGCTGCTAACTACCGAAACCAAGGACCTGGCCGGCTACAGAGATACGCTCGCAGAGAGATCTGTACAAGGCTCTTGACGGGTGGAGAAACAAAGTGAGAAGGCTTGCAAGGAAGGTGATCAGGTGGCTAGTATGCTCTGGGAGGCTCCTGGAGTATAGGCTAGCTGTGTAACGGGCTGAGCCCGTAAAGGCCTCGGCAAACTCTCGGCTAAGACTCGAGATCCGGTGGACTTCTATCTTGTTCGATATCGGCGCACAGGCCAAGGATGTGGAGGTATACACCTCCCCCGGGGTTTTAAAGGTTAGCGCAATACAAGCCCCACCGACTAACCAAAACAAGCAAGCAAGTAGAGATACTTTGATGGAAGTAGAAAAATCATTGATTTTTTAGTACTCTGTACTTCCACCTTCCGCTGCAATTACTTTCCGTAACCTGTCTGGCATCGAGTGCGCTAGCCGAAGTAAAAGATCCTCCGGAATTGCATCCCATGCCTCCTGAATAGCCATACGGAGAGCCGCAAGACTAAGTCGTTGAAGATCTGGGTAGTCGTCCTCGATAAAGTTCTTCAGCCAGTGCCAGAGGTTCTCTATCGGGTTGAGGTCAGGGCTCCGAGCAGGCCACTCTAATACCTCAAGTCCAAGTGCCGTAAGTAGACGCCTGGTTGAGAGAGCTCTATGAGCAGCAGCATTGTCTTGTTGAAAAACAAATTCGCAGCCGTTAGACTCCCAGAACTGCCGTAGAAGTGGAAGTATAAGTTGTTGATATCTCTCGGCATTGATACCCCCGTATCCCTTCTCCTAGAAGAACCCGGGTCCCTTATACCGTCCAGCGAAGCAGCCCCAGAACATCCAGCCGTGTGGTTTTTGCCGAAGAAGTGCCCAAGTACGAGGGTCTTCAGTGTCGTGCACAGTACTCCACCGCTTCCACGTAGGGGTATTGGTAGCCCAAGTCTCGTCGCTAAAGATAACCTTCTCCCAGTCCTCAGGATTAGGTCGCAGAGCCAACTGCTCCTGTGCAAAGGCGAGTCGTGCAGCCCGGTGCTGAGCAGTTAGTTCAATCCTACAGGGGCGTTTCCTCCTCGAGTAACCCATTAATCGTAGAGCATTGACGATCGCAGTCTCTCCAAAGAGCTCAAAACCCGGGATATAGTGCTTCAGATACCCCCATGGGAGCTCGCGGAAGAGGTTATCGGCTTCGAGGTAGTGGCGGAGAATCTCTTTCTGCGGAGTACGGATCAGCGGAAGTCTGCCCACATGCCCAGTCTTCTGAGGAGTGACGGGTCCGTCGCAAGCGCGTTGCACCTGCCGCACAGTCACTCCTAAGGCGTGGGAAATCGCCTGATAGGACCACTTGGCATGGTTGCGCAAGGCTCGCGCCTCTATTTTCTGATCTCGGGAGAGTTCCTGGGCGCGGCGCCGCGTAGATGTCGTGGCTTGGCTCGCAAGTTCTGTGAGTTGCGGATGCCGGATTCGCTGACACTGCAAGCGGTAAAACCGCTCCGCGGCAGGCGAGTTATGGATGCTTGTATGGTTGATCAGAGCGCGAATATCCATCTAAGGCATGTCCATATTAAATAGTACGACTGGAAAAATGCAAGCGTTGTTGGAAGGTACTTTACGACACAAAATGCTACGGAAGTGACTTTGTAGAATGGCAGAGATTTCTATCGAGCTAAATAACGTAATGGCTGCTCCTTTTGGCAAGCCGGTGGGGCTTGTATCACGCTAACCTTTAAAACCCCGGGGGAGGTGTAAGACGGCAGATATCTTGCATAGTCTTTCACTCTTTTTCTTCTTTCTCCATTCGAGACAAACTCGTAGAGTCGTCACCAGCTAGTTGCAATATACTCCTGGGACCGTTACATGCTGTATGGCTAGAACTAGGCTAGTTCGCTGGCCTAGTCGGCCATTTGCGCCTTTCTTTTCGCTATAGTGAGTAGATTTAGGACTTCAGACTAGTATAGGGGAGACAGAGGTTTTTAGTCTAGCTTTGTAGGCATAGTTTTCCTTTGTAATTAGTGGTAGAGGGTCCGGCGAGCCCTAGGGCATAGCGGTGTAGGAATAATAATAAATAATAATATTATACGTTAAGTTCTATACTATTTTTAACTTCTTTAATCTTATTAGTTAGTTTAAATATAATCTAGGTATTAACCTTACTTAGCATGGAGCACGGACGTTTATATATATAATATATAAAGAACTGGCATGAAATATATTTTGATCACTTCTCCACTCGTTTGTTTGCCAAGGCTATTTACAAAGTAGCTACTTAGCTAACCATTAACCAGACTCTCAACTCTTATCACTCCGGTCAGCTTAACGCTGCCCCCGCGGGGAGAGCAGTGCTTTTTGTTGCCTTAGTCGGGCCGTGCTGCATCGTTGTTCTTTAATTCTGCATTTTATTCCTTCGGTTAAGCGCTGCGCGGCGCGGTATCGAAGCGCGTGGGCGCCATGGCCGACCGCAGTGCCCCACGTCGAACGATCCTCGAAATCCCCATCCTTAGCATCAAACGATACATTCCGGGCTCTGGCCCGCCTCCGCCGCGAATCGCCCTGCTGCCCCCTCGCGACTCTACTGCCTACATCATCGATCAATTCGTGCTTCCCTCCGACAAAGACCTGAGTCCAGGCAGTCGCCGGTTGCTGCATTACTACATTGGCTTCACCGATCTGCCAGCGGTTAAGACATTAGTCCCATGTCACAAGGTGCTGGACTATGTCTCACCACGCGAGCTCGAGGAGTGGGAGTATAAGAACTTGGCCAGGAAAGAGGAGGGGCGGGCCCGGATGTTGGCTGCGAAGCAAAGGGTCGGCCCTGCGAAACCAGAACCCGGCCAGCCGCCCAAGGTCCCTATGGAGGATGTTGGCCTGCCCGTGCTGAGCTCGCAGGACCAGGCCCTGTTGCTCGCCGAACAAATCGCCGGCCCATCCCTGTCCACACCCAAGAAGAGAAGGTTGAGCCGGGTCTTGGACGCGGAAGCGGGAGACACCATCAATATGGATTCTGACGACGCCGCCATCCACCGGCAACTGCAAGGGGATCCCGATTTGGAGGACATGGTGTATGGGGATGACGTGGAGGCCGATTCTGAATTCGTGGATCAACTCGCTATTCCATATGGCGAGACGCCTTCCCGAGCTTCCAGCTTGATGCCGCCTTTGCAAGGCTCATCACGTAACAGTCCAACTGCGAGTTCAACCGAAGAGGGCCCGTCCCGTTCCGCTTCAACAGACCCGTTACATGCACAGAGCAATGGATCTACACCAAGCAGGATACATCCCGCATGGGCACGTGCATTCGGCCGGCAGAAGCAGAATGAGACGGCCTGGTCCCTGTCGGCGAACACGATGCCATCCGAACGCTCAACAACCACATCAGCACGGCCTGCGTCGGGAGTTACGAGCAGATCTAAGCTCTCCTCGCAATTCTCCACCCCCGACATCGAAGCCCGTTCCGCAAGGGCTCCAGATCTGTCAGCAAACAAGCGGAAGAACCAGTCCAACGGCAAGAAATCTTCACACAGCAAGCAGCCCAAAAAGAAGAAGCAGAAAACCGAGCCGGAACCGAAAGCGAAAGCGGCAGTTGACGAATGGGAGGTCAAGGATCTGCTCGACGACCAATGGTTCGTTGAGCAAGGGGTCAAGGTACACAAATACCTCGTCCTCTGGGAAGGAGATTGGCCCGAAGACCAGAATCCTACGTGGGAGCCGACAGAAAACGTCCAAGACCAAGCCCTTCTCAAGCGTTACCAGAACAAAAAGAAGGCCGGCCTGTTAAAACCGCCCAGGAAGCAGAGGACGCTGCATCGATCCCTGCCGGGAGCCAAGTACTCCAGTGTTGCTGAAGCTTTCGAGGCCGGGATTGACGAACAGACGGGGCCGGCAGCTGCGGGCGGGGTGAGCGATGCAGAGGGGCCTGAAGAGACCTTCCTCGTGACGGAGAACGCGGGGTATATCATGGTGAATGGGAGGAAATCAGCACTGGCACCGGCGGCACCGCCACCGAGTTTCGGGTCGTTCGATAATATGTTGGCCAGGTACAACCAAGTATTCCCGCGGGTGTGAACAGCAAGCAGATCAATAGACAGCGAAGCTCAAACGCACCCAAACCCGATACGTAACTTCGCCAGCCACCTGCAGCGGAAGTGGCCTCTGCGTGTTGGAGTTTCATGTACATATACAAAGGACCTCGGGCGGAGCACGCCGGCTGGGTCGCCTAAAGTCAGCCGTAACCCGGCCGCCACGCACCAAAAGCCTTCCACACCGCACATGTTCCCGTGGGCGCCACCGGGTCGCCAAGAAGTCTCCGTGGCACCAAGGGCCCCGTCCCCTCCAGCCGGTGGCGCGATGGGATGAGGTTCCGGTTACAACACCACGCAACAGTCGGGTATGCCGGGACTGGGCAGTCGGATGAAGATCCTCCAGGCACCTGCAGGAGTCTCCGCTCATCGCCGATGCAGGAGCAGGAGAGGCCAACGAGACACCAGCGGTATACCGGTGAAATCTCCTCATCCTTCCCCAGAGATGTAGCCAGCGGAATGATGATGAACTCTCGCCAAGACCTGGCCCTGCCTAAATTCGCTGTTGCGAATGCGAAGTGAGTACCGCAGGAGGGGCAGTGACCTTGAAGCCACAACTTGTGGCTTCAAGCACCTGGACATGAAAGACCGGAACATGAGCCGAAGGTTGGATCTGTGGAAATCAGTCCGCCCAACTTTCAAGGAAAGTGGAATTCTGACAATGCACAGCCTCAACGACAGACAGATGGCACACACAGACCCCCACAGCGAGAGCCAGCATGAAACCAGGGCCTCATGTTTCATGAGACCACGCCCTAATTACTCTCACTCAAGCACGGCAGCATCCGCTCCTCTGCCCCTCCCACTTGAGGGAAGCAACGTGGTCTGCCAGCTCGTTGCTCACCACAGCCTCATCATCCCACCCAAAGTGGGCAGAACCTGCCGATCGACGGCTAGCTGCAGGAGGCTGCATGTGATGGTCCGCTCGCGTGGGGGTTTGGACTCCTGCATGGATGTGACATCGGTCTCAAGTCCGGTGCGGGACGTGCTTGCGCACTGCCTTTGCTTGAGGAGTTGGTCTCGGTTGAGCTTTGATGAGGCATGGCTCAGTCGGGTGTCTGGTATCAGAAGGCACTGCAGTGGAACAGTATGGTGCTTTTGGTGGCAACCTTCCGCATGGTCACGAGACGGTACACTTCGATGAGGCTGGGAGATGGGATGGCTCCGGCGACCACCTGTTTTGGAGCAGCATCTGCGGTGCGGAAGAAGTGTTCCCCTATCTCTGACCGAGATGTCTACAGAATTCCATACCTACTTGATCAGACATTCGTGTTTCTAGTTGCTGGCGCACCAATTGAGATTTGAGAAGTCGGGGACATCAACAACCATCATTCCGACCTGCCGGTGCTACAGATACTACCACCACTACCTAGACATCACTGCAATACCACTCACAGCTGTTGACATTTTGATACTGAATCATGTCGATCATACCACCAGAGCTCCTTACTGTTGAGGTAATTCCTTGAACTTATGTCAAAGCCCAGCGCATGACACGGCCACCATGCTCCTTCATTTCAATGCACAGTGACTGGTGACATGGCCAGAAGGAACATCTTCATCTTCGTGTCAGTCGCAGCAAACAAAGCCATTATCATGGTATTGGATGAAAGCTGATGTTAGATCTGGCTCAATCGAGAGAAAGGCATTTAATTATTCATGAAACATCTGAGCAAGCCTTTGTGCCCTCAATGGAACTGCTGGTATATCCACATTTACCCCTGATACCAACATAACCTCAGTCACCATCACCAAACGCTACATGAAGTACTTAAGGTATTCAGTCATCATCCCCACTGTCACCATGTACCCATTCGACAATGACATAACTCAGTATGTCCTCAACTGTCTGATTCGGCAGGGAGCCGTCGTAATTCCAATGTGCCTCATCGTGCCGACTTCAATTTACCTATCTCGCGGTGATTATCGGATGTGTGATCAAGTCTGGGCTGTTGCTACAGTTTGGGGAATGACCTTGAGGGCTTCCTAGGGGACTCCATGAAGTGATGAAGTGCAATGGTTAATATTTTTGTTAATCTTACCTTCCTCGGCTCGTTTCTTTCTTGCGTTGTCTTTGTCTTCTTCTCTTTTAATCATCTCTTATCATCTTTAACGTTTTCAGCCCTTTTCAAATTCTATTAAACTCACACCTGCTCAAGATTTTGAAGTAGGGTCTTATTACATAATACGACGTGAGAACTAGCAGGTAAGTAGGATCCACGATCTGTCAGACAACCCAACAACACTGAATAAAGTAGCCATAACACTTTATGCCGTTTGATGTGCAAGTGACATCATGGCCATTTGACAGCTGCAGCCCCGCTGTCGAGGATGCGGCAAGGCTGGTGTTATTAGGGTATATATTCCGTACCGACGGAACTTATGCTTGACCAGCCCAGTCGGCGAGACATGAGGACAGGGGCATTGCAGGGGCCGGGGTCTTTTCAGCTTGGGTGGGCAGGTCTCGTGGACATGCTGGGCGTCCGAAGGATCTGCTGAGCTTGGTCTGGAGATTACAGGCCGTACGTTCATCCTGCAGCGGCGAGAACAAACCCTCCAGGCCAGGCGAGCCAGGCAAGCATCTGTGATTACCGGGCGTGTTCGAACCGTCAGTCGGTACACCTCGTGCAACTTCTGGCTTCAAGAACAAGCCAGCTCCCAGATGGGGAAGATCCCAATTCCCGTTACATAGTGAGAGTGTATATCCGTAGCGGGACCAGAAAGAGCTAGGAAACCGGGGCAAATCCCCCGAGATCCCGGCACTTTTGGATTGGTCGGGTCTCACGTGAGAGTTTGTGGACGCAAGGGATCGACAATTGTTTCGGCTTCAAAATTTCCGCGTGGAAATTTGACGCTTGCTGGCTAATCTTGTCCTAGGCTCCGATCGCGGTGGTACCACACTTCATGGCGGATCAGCCTGAGCCATTCCAGATCAGACACATGTGTACATGTAATGATGAAGGTGTCTCAGGCCATCAATCAATCATCAGTCAGTACCACGATGAGGTGGTAATGGGTGCAGAATCGGCTGCGCTGGGGTTGCACTGCCGCTGAAACATCATTCCCCACCGGCAACCAGACTGTCGGAATCCTGGTGGGGAACGGCATGCAAATTGGCGAATCGCTCCACATCTCGGTGAATCCCAAACCCGAACCATCATCCATTTCCATTCATTTGGCACAGCTTCACACACCGCTTGCTGTTTGAAACGTGAGATGGGAATTCGCCCCTGATGATTTTAACGAATCGACACCCAAGGAACAGGGGCGCTATCGTACCTTCTTTGGACGGGCGTGGGGGCAGTTCCAAAAGTGGAACAAGCTGTGTGTTGCTTACCAGTCCGCTCCCTGATCGGTTTGTGCAACAACATGGTTTGCTTTTCCAATATCCCCATCGGCTTTCCTTCTGCCCATCCTCCTTTCCGATCCCAGGTGGATTCTTACACATGTGGTCAGGGAATGCAACCTGAATCCTCGCTGAAAATCCCATTAGTTCCAGACATCTACCATCACTCCGACTTATTTTACTCTAGAGGTGGCATCAAACAGGTCACAATCCCGATGATTCTGAGAAGTAACCATTCCAAGCGGCTCTCCGCCCATTCGCTGGCTCGCGGCCCACGACGAATGCCCCTGGAACACAGCGAGCCTGTAGCCCTGGAAGGTTGTTCTCGTGATCACCTCGGGACACTCAACTGACCTGGATCGTACCACGCAAGCCCAGGGCTGTATCACAATTTCCATCAGCGTTGCCGCGTTGGAGGCGCTCTGGGCGTTCCCCAGCGCTGCTTGCGTCGCCTGAACGACCCCCACGCGCGCCCAGTTCCCGAGTGGGCAACTGAGCAACACATGGCCCCCTTAACTCCAGGGCTGCCACCCGATGCGAGTGAGAGCCTCACTTGTCGGCGGGGCTTGTCTGGTGATCCTCGTTTCCGCTGAAGTTCTAACTCCCACTTCCCATAATCCTAGCTTTCCCATGCTCCTTGTTCTTTTCAACGTCCCAGCCCCGTCCCAGCCCATTCTGAACCCGGTCTGACAGTTACTTTTCAGTGCCCACAGGCGGGACATAAATACCCTGAACCTGCCCTTGGTTGTGACGCTTGCCCAGGACAAGATCTGCATCTATCGTCTCAACAGCCTACACCGCTCAATCCGTCCCGCCGCACCCCGTCATCTCAACGCCACCAAACCATCCAAACACGACGGCGGATACACACAACTACACACTACAATGGAGCCATCATCACCAACCAGCCTCCCACCCACCCCACCAACCGACACGCCACCCACCCAACCTTTCCCACGGGGCGTTTACGTCCCGATGCCCGCCTTCTTCACCCCCGCCGACACCATCGACATACCCGCCACGCAGCGCCACACGGCGCGGCTCCTGGCGGCCGGCGTGACAGGCCTGGTGGTGCACGGGTCCAACGGCGAGGCGGTGCACCTCTCGCGGCGAGAGCGGCGCACCATCATCGAGGCCGTCGCTGACACGGTGCGGCACGAGACCGACTCGCTGCATACGCCCGTGCCCGTCGTCGCGGGCTGCTCGGCGCAGTCAGTGCGCGAGACGGTCGAACTGTGCCGCGAGGCGCGCGAGTCGGGCGCCACGCACGCCCTCGTGCTGCCGCCGGGGTATTATCGGGGGTTGATGGATTCCGAAGGGGTGGTAGGTTATTTTGAGCAGGTTGCCGAGCGCAGCCCCCTGCCACTGCTCGTGTACAACTTCCCCGCGGCGGCGAACGGGGTGGACCTGGACTCGGATGTGCTGTTGAGGTTGGCGGGGAACCCGAGGATTGTTGGGGTCAAGTTGACGTGTGGAAATACGGGGAAGCTGGCGCGGTTGGTCGAGGGGGCGCCGAGGGTGAGGGGCGGCAAGGGTGAATTCTTTGTCGGTGGCGGGAGCGCGGATTTCATTCTTCAGGGGTTGATTGTGGGAGCGCATGGGACCATCAGTGGGTTTGCCAACCTCGCGCCCAGGGCGTGTGTGAGGATTGGGGAGCTGTTTGGGGAAGGGCGAGTGGACGAGGCCAGGGAACTGCAGCATGAAGTTGCCAAGGGTGACTGGCTGGCGATTCGATACGGGTTCCTCGGTGTCAAGGCTGCCATGCCCATCTTCCACGGCTCTGCAGAGGCATCATGCGCGGTACCAAGGTTGCCGTTCAAGCGGTTGCAGGAGGATGGGGAAGCAGCGAGGGAGATACGAGAAGGTATGGCGGGAGTGTTGGAGATCGAGAAGCGGTTGGCCGAGGGGGCTGCTGGCGAAAGGTAAACCGAGTGCTGGTTCCTTGATCGCGATGCTCTTGGTACGCCGCTTGTCTTGATGCATTTGAATCGGGAGAAATGAGATAAAATCATTAGCGCTTTGTCGTTGAAGACTTTGGGTGGCTCGGGACCCGGAACTCAGGCGACATGGCTTGGATGTAGCATTCTTACCTCTACTTACAGACACTAGAGCGCAAGCAGAACCCTTTAGCACAACAGAGCAAAGGATCTCAATTTATCCAACTATGATCATGTGGTATTCATTGAGCTAGACGCTGAGACCACAACCTAAGTAACGAAATCCTCGAGACTGGAAAGGAACCTGGAATATCCGAGTTTACAATCCCATGGTGAGCTTGTTTCCAGCGATAAGTGCCTCCAGAATATGCGGAGCCCAGCCTCTATAGTCCGAGTCTGCAAGGCCGGTATATTATGTAGGCAAAGTGAGCCCAGGTAATTGTAGCAGCGGCGGCGGTGGACGTTGAGTGACGACTGTCGCCCTTTTTCCTGGGTGGTACATGCGAGGGCTTCGCTTGAGACCCCGGTGTCGACGATAGGCGAGACGATGGATATGAGCCCGTTTCTGAGCAGCGTCGGGGTAACCTCTCATATCGGACTGGTGGACAACATGGGGTGTTGGTGTCGAGCCCACGCGCCATGTCTGCCTTGAATTTTGTCGAACACAGCGTGACCAGAAGACGGTGGGCCCCGAGGTTGTTGAATGGCACGCAGCTTCATGGAAGTGTCAGAACACGGACATGGCCCCGAGAGATGAAGAAATGCGAGGAGAAACCCAAATTGGAGGCTGAGAAGGAAGGCTGAGGTTAAAGCTGACTAAGGGATGGGTGGTTGTGCTTGAGTTGTGTTCCGTTGGTGTCTGCTGGGGACAGAAATGATAGGAACAGGCCCACAGTCGAGACGGTCGAGACGATGACGTTGGTAAAGACGTTGTTGCCCAACGACAGGCTTGAGTCGCTGCCCATCAGCATGTCGTCCCCGGCTTCGTCGTCCCAGGGCGCGGGGAAACGAAAGCGGAACAACACGGCCAGCGCTCTCGACATGGACCCGACACACCTCACCCAAATCGTTGTCGAGGCGGCGGCGCAAAGGAGGAAATATGTCGAGAGGCAACAGAGGATGCTGGAGAAGTACCTCCAGGACATGATCCGTTGGCTCATGTTCCGAGCCGACAGCAACCGTCTCTGCCGCTTCTTCGAGCTGTCTGCCCTTGGAGTCCGGCTCGCGGCTAGGAGAGAAAGATCGGAGCGCATCCCTACCTTTTATCACAACCGCAATGTGTTTACTTGCTGCTGACAGTGTTCAAATTGCGTGCAGTAGTCTGACGCGTGATGTAAGTGAGCCATCATGTTAGTTTTGTGAAGACGCAAAGCTTGGGTACATCATTGTTTGCTTGACAACCATGAAGCTGCACTAGAAATGCAACTTGAAGCAAGTCCAATTAAGATCACAAGGCAGTTGCTGCTGCTGAGATGCTGAACACCCTATTCGGAGATTACCTCCGATTGCTCTAGTCAAGTCCCGCAAACTTAACTGCCGTTGCCTACCTTACTCCACTCACCGCTAGAGGCCCAGTCTTCACTTCCAGCTGCAAATCACAGAGCATAATGGCACGATGGAGTGTTCTGGATACTGGTATCAAGTATCAGGAGAGAAACTATGAGATTGATGGCCACGTTGATCTCGCAAGTAGATGACGTGGATAGCTCGTGCTGACCGCGAGACTCGCAAGCTAATTACATTGCAAAGTAACTACAGTACCTAGGTATCTAGAGCGCCCAACTGATTTGTCTTCTCGAGCTCTCTGACAATGGTAGCCATGTTTCCTGCGGTCGTCACAGTAATTGATTTGGATTGAACCCCCAGGCCGATTATTGGAAAACATTGGGGGCCCTGTTCATCCTTATGCCATTCATTGCACTGGGCGACGGAAAACGGGCCAGGACGCTAAAGCATAACCCCAACAGACCGTGGACAAGTGCCGCCATGATCACACAACGCTCTAGGAGCGTCCTGTCGAGAAACGGGATCATGCGCTACTAGGTTGGCTTTGCGTTCGTATTTGAAGCCCAGCTTCCGGAATCCAGGATAAGTACATGTGAACGAGGCGAGAAATCAACTGAATATCTTTATTGCAGTGTGGCCCGGGTGGTGCAACCATGGTAGTTCGGTTATCAACTTGTCCGACGTGGAAGCCCGGGTCTGATAAGTTACCCCTTTTGCATGTTCTTTCGCCGGCATGCTGCTCTCACCCCTTCGTAAACCTAACGTAGAACACAATGAAACTCGAGCATCTGAGGCTTTTACAAAGTACCGTGCTATTAGTTCTCTTCTCGTGTTGACTGTTTGTCATAGGTCGCCGGTCGGACATTTAACCGGCGAGCCCTCCAGAGGCGTAGTTTGGCCTTCGTGGTCTTGTCCCGGTCGATGATGCCGCTGCTGGTAGCGCCCTCGAAAGGCGCGTTGACGTCGAGGCTGCCATTCTTGGGGCGTCCTCGATGGGTGGTTCAAGGGATCCTTCCAATCATGTTTATCTCTTGTCTTTTTCTTGCCGGGAACGAATCCAATGAGATTCTCTGAAAGACAGAGCACCATTTGTTATGTTGACATGAACGGGTAACGTTACCGATAAGTGTGGAAACGTCTGTGCTTAAGTAAGCAGCTTGGGAGCCACTGACGGAAACCAACCCCAACCCTCTGACGCGACACCCATAACAAAACAAGCCCCGCTCCCAGCCTCCAATCACTTTCTGCTGCTGCACTCGATACCTCGTACTTCTTACGGTATTTCGAATTCCACGCGTCGCAACTTTCACGAAACGACACCACCCCATCGTCATCCACGCGGGATCGACGGCCGTATTTCGAACGAAAAACGTCTCGCGCGGCGATAAAACCTGCGGTTTAGGCGCTCTTCAAAATGCCTCGGCATACGGATCCTGATGTCCATGCGGCATTTGTCGAGTTCCGCGCTGGCCGTAAGTCCCAGTCCCGATGCCGTCGAGTCTCGACTTGACAGTACTGCGTATGTTACTTACCTCATCGCGGCGCATTTCGGCTGACACCTCTCGTTCTCCACACACATAGCGGACGACAAGTGCATGTCAGTCCAGTGCCTGTATTGCAATACCAAGCGCGCAAAGAACACGACGCGCCAGAAGCAGCACCTCCTCCAATGTGCTCCATACCTCCAAGCCCACCCAGAGTTTGCCCTCCAGGCCTCGGCGGCCGCAGCCGCCGCCGCCGCAGCAGCTGCGTCGGCACCGGCTGCAACAGCTCCTCCGCCTCCGCCACATCCAGCACAATCGACTCCAATCCCCCCTCCTCCCCAGGCGACTAACGATGTGTCCCACGGAGCTCCGGCTCAGACGCCCATTCCGCCCCCGCCGTACGCAACCGATGATGTCGTGGGCGCGCACATCACCTCGAGCTTCATGCCGAACCCTCGAATCAACGGATCGCCGAGTCAGGGCCGTCCGTCACTCGCGATGACTCCAAATGACAACCGGCCGGCTCAAAACAATGCTCAGGCCGGCGATGGGACACCCGCAGCCAAGAAGCAGAAGACGAAGCCGTCCCCTGGCTCTGTGTACGAGATACCCCTGCGCGATGTCCACGCCGCATTCGTCGAGTTCCGGGCCAAGGAGGACGACAAATGCATGTCGGCGAGATGCAAATACTGCAATCAAGTCCGCGCTAAGAACACCTCGAGGCAGAGGGAGCATCTCATGGTCTGCCCCGGCTATCAGTCTGTGCTCAAGGATAAGATCCCTGCCAACAACCTGCGGCACCAATTCGATGATGACGACGTCGCGGCCTCGCTGGCCCTGCCGGCCCCGGTTGTCAGCCTCGACTTCCGCATGAGTATTCGGGTCAAGCCGAAGCTGAACGTGGGCGCGGGCACCTCGGGCCGGCAGAGCTGGATCTCGTGTGTCGGTGGGCAGTGGGCCGGCAGCTGGGGCAAGGGCGTGCTTCTCGTGAGCGATCCTCTTGTTCATTCTTGTTTGTCAATTCAGTACTAACACGCAAGCCAACAACAGCCCAGCGGACAAGACACCCAGACAACTGTTAAGGACACTGCCACCCGCATCGACGCGCGCTACCTGATGCAGACCAACGACGAGCACCCCGCCCTGATCATTTGCAAGATGACCGGATGGCTGACGGGCGAGCGGGACGTCATGGAGAGGCTGCAGGACCCTGTCGCCGCTGACAACGTCGCGGCCCACCGTTACCGGCTTCGCGTGAATATCGAGCTCGAGACGGGCGACGAGCGCTACCAGGAGGTCAACACGGGCCTGTGGACGGCCAGCGGCTGCAGAAGGGGCGCCGAGATTGTGTACGACGCGTACCGGATTGGCTGAACTGCCACCCGTGCGGTCCGTTAGACGGATGGGCAATGAGGATTTGTCTACTCATGTTCACCTTCACTGGGTGGAATTTCGGGTTATTCGTTGGAACTTCAGGTGATGCCTTGCCAACATTCGTCAATGTTTCAAACCATGTAATTACATCGCAGCGTTAGGAACTGGGTGCTGACGGGGGTAAACTGCGCTGACTTTCCCCTTTAGCACGACGTATCTACCCCCGCCCGCCACATGTACTGCGCTGGTATCTTAATCTACCATATCATCTCAATCCGTTCCATGCCTTAGATAAAGTGCAGCAGACTTGTTACATGATCATGATTGCCGACCACACAGATCCCAGCCCGGAAAACCAAGCACGAGTATTAACTCAAAACGAGAATGTCGTCGGCTAACAAGAACCACGGCAAAGGCAACCTCTCCGTCAAATTGAGTATCTACGACTAACCACCTCTTCCCTGCTTTGCCGCCATTCCTAGGTTTCATCCGTGTTGATGTCTCTGTGCCTGCGATAACTTGATAGGTTCTTTTAAAGGTGCGAGGCCGGCAGCATGAAGACTCGCCATGATAGGGGACTCGGCAGTTTTGAGCGTATTTGTACCTCTGTTAGAGTTAGGAGGATTGCCTGTTGGCTGAAAGAAGGCGGTCCTTCAACCTTTCCTAGACTGCTCGCACGCTTTGGAGAATAGGTGTTTAGGACTTGCTTGGATGATCTGTCGTTGCCGAAGCTCTTTTTTGGCTTGGATATTTGGCATGGTACAATACAACTTGAAGCCGTGGCAGTTGGAGATGAACCACCTTCTTGCCCTAGGACAAGATGTTGATCCCACCTACTGCAGGGCTGTCTACAAACCTCGCGCCAGGACGACTCATGGCCTGAGACCCTTCGGATTGCCGCTAGCCAGCATTGGGTGCCCATCACGAGGCACGAGGCCGGTAACGTTATTGAGATGACCCGGATGCATTCACCCCCAAGCTGCACCCCTCCTGTTTCGGAAGTTTCGCGCAGCACCTGCACGTATCGTACGATTGACCTGTCATGTTGTACTGCGCCCGGCGCCACTTCCTCAGCCCCGGCGGGAGCGGCTGCAGTCAATGCGGGCCCGGTTCAGCAGTGGTGAGATCGGCGTCCGCAGCGCCGCGAGACATTTGGAGGGAGGCAGTCGGGCGCTCCCAACCTTCAAAGCAAAAAGTTCCGTCGAGACTCAGATTCCGCCCGAACAAGCACTCGGAACATACACAGTATAGTATTCTGAATCGGGTTCATCAAGAGACTCGCTGCATTCCAGATCCCCATCCACACTTTTCTGTGGACGTCGCAGGAAAGTTAGCAAGCCTCGATCTCCATGGTCGCCCTATCGGCTCGGCTGCAGTGCAACCTAGCCACGTCGTCGGGACGGACGCCGATTCGCTTAGGGTGAATAGATACAGTAGTTATTAGCGAACCACGAACCGCCGTGGTGGCACACAGAGTCCGGGTCAGCTTGCTGCAAGACCGTGGCAAGCAGCAGCTCTGTCTGTCGTTACAACTCTACCGGTTCCCACAATACTGCACTCTCACCGTAAAAACGAGTCAAAAATACGGATCCGTACTACGCGGCTGTTTGAAGATTGGCCGTGCGAAAGGCGACGTTGAATTAGCCTAGCTCTTGGCGATCGAGCTTTGCCGACTGATCCCGCCTGGACGCTCCGCAGTGGGTCGCTGTGGGAAGTGTCGACAGCGTTCCTTGCTGATTTTGAATTTTCTGTCCATTTGGAGAAAGCAAGCTGGTATGGAGTAATCCCTTTGCAGGAGCCACGGCGCAAATAGGAGAAACGGGGTGTCTTGGGAGATGCTTCTGCGTCTCTCGGATGCTGCGACCGCTGCATATCTGGCAGATCTTCAAGCTTCCGATTCACTACGGATCCGTATTGGGGCTCCTTTCAGCATTCATTCAAGTTTGTTCAGCTTTCCTACGGAGTACTGGCATAGATGTTGCTTCTGTCGACTTGCCGCCAAGACACAAAGGCCACCGCTTCCTCCCAAGTAGGCAATCCCTTCGCCGGAAAGTCGGGGTTTTGGTCGGGACCGGCAAGCACAGCACCTGGCAAGAACGTGTGCCGAGCCCAAGCGCCAATACTTGAATCCCAAAATCTGAGCGATCATATTCTGGTTTCTGGGCAGAATGGTCGGACAGCATGTCCAGGTCCAAGTGCCATTCACGGCCTTTTGAGTCACAGTCTCACCGGTTTGACAGGGTGCACAAACCTAGCGGCCGGCCGTTGCTGACCAATGCCTCAGCGTTTTCTTCCAAACCTAACATGGATCGCTGAAGGTCGCTGCTTGGGGCTACTGTAACAACAAGAATCCTGGGCGCGTGTTCGCAAGGGCTTCCTGAACCAGGTTCTAGATAGCAATCAATGTACGGAGTAATACCTAGTCCGACACGCTGCGGAGAGAATCGCATTGCTGCAGCAGCACTCAGCTCCCTGACTCGTATCAGAATCCCGCCAATGCAATGCCCAGACCCTTTTCGCCTGTCTTTATCCCTGAGAGACGACGCATCGCTGCAGCTTTCCGTCAACAGCCAACAGCCGACATGTGCCGCCTACCCACAAACCCGCAATGGGGACGATGCAGCCTGGCCTTTGCAATCCTACGGGAAGACTATGGCCGCGATCTCTAGGAAATTCACTCTCAGTGCAAACTGAGCTGTAACATGGAGGAAAGTTGCAGCTAATGCTTGAGCGCGGGATCTGGTGTTCCCTCCCAAGGCGCATTGCTGAATTCTTGGGTGCTAACGTCGACCAGATTAGACACAACTCACAAAAGCCTATATGCGGGGCTGTACAAGTGCCAGTCCTCCAGAACCATATGGTTCTGGCTTTTCATCCGCCTGTTTTCTCACCATCCCTGGGGAGCTGGTATCAGTTGGCCAAGGCTATCCGTACCCCCGACACACCTCGGCATGGGGGTATGCCACCCGAAGCCCCATGAGCGGCGAGCCCCACTTCATTGCTTAATTGGTGAGAGGATCTACAGTACTTGGCCGATTCTGGACCATCATTTGCTCGAGGGACCTTTGGGACGGCTGGTGAAGGATTTCGAATCTTGTCCAATCGCCTCTGTGTGCTCTAGGTCTTGCTGCCAGATAGCGAGTCAATGCAGCAGTGTACTTGTTTGCTAGCACTCTGCACGATGTGTTCACGGGCACTCTCCCCGGCACGTTTGCAGCGGCGCCGCCCGCCCGGAGCCACAGCAGTTGGTCCAGAGAGCGCCTGCCCAACAAGCCGAGAGCGGGGACGCGCATCAGGCTTGCTTCGCTTGATACCGTGGGGGTTACACACACCATAGGGGCACGAAGGCGTAAACGGAGCGAGCTTCTGTAATCAAGTAACTAATCCTCGGGCAAGAGTTCAAGGTAGGGCTCCAACAGGCATGTCGGCATCTACTTAGGTCGTGCTTCCGTCCCACGAGACTGAACTGGTGATCTGGAGGGGGTCAGAATCGGCAATGCCACCACAAATCCTTATCGGTTTAGCGCAGACCGTCTCGGCCGTCCAGAGCTGCCTTTGCCATCGGACACGCGCCGTCGGCAAGGACAAGTCCTCTCAGTGTCATCCGACGTCCATTTATCTCTGCGCAGAACATATGCCACCCTATCCTCAGAACGCTGGCAAAAGCGGTCACTTCCATCGGAGTAGAAGCATACAATGAATCACAGTCAAATTTGGTCTGCTGATGGACCTTTACAGGTACGAGTTTGCTTTCACAAAGCTGCCCCCTACACTGCTCCCTTTCCCCTAGGATCAACCCAGCGCCTCAACCCCAGAGAGGTTCTTGACCAGTTCACTGCATGAGACAAATGGAAGTCGACTACCAATGTCCTGACTTCAGACAGCTGATGTAATCCAGGCCTGTATGTTGCCAGCGGACTACATCACAGAGCCGCTTATCGACGACTATTGCCCTCGATGGCCCTCTGCTCAGGAGCAAGGTTGCCAAAGCGCCATCGGCGAACACTTTGTCAACGGAGACCAGCATAAGCCTGTTCATGACTATGGAATGCTTAGTCCAGCGCCCACAGCTACGGCAGCATCGCCACCAAATTGGTCCGGTGACGGTCCGTCCACCGTCAGTGGTGCTTGGGCTCCAGTAAGCCCTATCAGCCCAAGTGAGGTCGGGTTTGGAGGCGAAGGGTTAGGCATTCAGCTCGGAGTCATGCCCCGCGCATCTGTAACAACGACGCCGCCCACGCTTCAAGTTGGACCTCGAAGTTGGGCTGCCAGCGCTGGCCTCGATGTATGCAACAACACGTACTTGGGTTATGCCACAGCCACGTCACTACCTCATAGAGTGGGAGTTCCCGTCGGCTTGTATGCGCGCTGGACCGGTGAGATGGCTGCTCCGAATCTGCCAGATGAGTCTTTTCCACAGGCAAGCTTTGCGATACCTTCGGACTCGGCCACCATCTGGAACAACAACCCACGAGTCCAGCCCGAGCACACCCTCCCACCTCGGCAAGCCGATCCCTGCATACCCAACTCCCTCTCCAAACGCTCCCAATCCCGAACCCAGCAAACATCAAAAAGGGCCAACCCATCATCCACACCCCTCAACAAAACAACGGTTCCCGCGGTGACGACAACAACATCAACAACAAGCACGAGAATAAGAGAAGAAGTCCCCGTCAGGCCAACCCCCAACGCCGCAATAAGCACCAAGCCCTCCACCAGCACTAGTATAACTAAAGGCTCGACCCTCCGCACAGCAACCCGTCGCGTCAAGCGCCCGGCGTCGTCATCCCCAAAGCCAGGTGAGCCGCCGGAGCGCCAACGGGCGCGCGCCAACCACAACCTGGTGGAGCAGCAATACCGGCACCGGCTGCACGCGCAGTTCGAGGCGCTTCTCGAGGCGCTGCCTGAGAGGATGCTTGACGGGGAGGGGCAGAATAATGATAGTCCGGATGGGGATAGGGCCAAGGCGAATAATGGGGGAGTGGGTGGTCGGGATGGAAGCAAGAGGCGGCGGATGAGCAAGGCGGATGTGCTCACGCGGGCGGCGAGGGTGATACGGGATTTGGAGGGGGATATCGAGCTTGTGAGGAGGGAGGTGGAGGGGTTGAGGAGGGAAAGGCAGACGGTGCTTGGGAGGGTTAGGAGTGCTTGGGAAGGTCGGGATGTGGAGGGTCGGGGTGGTGGTTTTGCTCTTGTGGGTGAGAGAGGGAGTTGACAATTGCGAATCAATAGTTGAGATTGGAGCCCGGTGGGGCATGATTAGGAGGCAATCCGGCTTATAAGGTAGTTTGGGTTCTTAGCTGGATTTGACGCTTCTGCTTCGCGCTGGGGCAACTTGCAAGGAGCTGCCCGAACCATGCAGCTTACAGAAATGATGAGACCACTGCTTCACGTAAATTACATGTTTAAAAGCTATTCTGGGACATAGATTCAATACAGCCAATTTCTCGACCTTAGAGCGTGTCATCGACAGGCATCGTTGCCTCTCCATGCATGCTTTATATCACGGTAGCTGGCGTCTGAGTTTGAACAATACCGTACCCAACGTTGATGATCTTTGTTGTATTTCGGCTCTGGAAAAGATGGTGACCATATTATCATGGGCTTGTCGTCTAAGTGCACACGAGCGCTAACCCCAACTCTGGATTCAATATTGTACTTTTGACAATATCGTGTGCGATGATGTCCACACCTCGTCCTCAGAACCATCAAAACCCAGGCAAGCGTCGAGGTCAATGCAAGCAATGTCAACACGCCTATTCAGAGCTACTGTGTACCAACTGTCTCTCGATGTCGGGCGCCAGATCTAGGGACTAGAAGTCCGGGCCAAAAAATTGAATTCTGGGGTTTCACAAAGTGGAACGCCCAAACGCGGTGAGTTTATCCGTGCGCACTTGGGTGTGGTAATCCGAAATTTCAAGGACTATCTTGAAACGTGAAATGGGAGTTATCATTTCCAAAGCATAAATTTGCACAGGTTTCAGCTAACGTACATGATAAGCGAACGTCCCAGACAAGCGAACGTCCCACAAATCCA